TGTTTACCTTTCTTTACTGTTAACGCAGTTGAAAGTAGGCGTATTTTTATTGGCCATTTGCATTTCTTCTTGTGTAATTTGCCTTTTTTTCCTGGTTTTATTGAGATATAATTGACATATATTGTAATTTGCCTTTTTTATTTCAGAACCAACGTGGTACACATTTAGAACATTGTATATAATATGAATGTGTTGGTTCAACCAAATTCTGTCATTCAAGTATATTAAAATCATATTGCTTTGGTGATTTCTTCACCCAACATTGATTATAAACAGTTAAGTCTTTGATGTTTTAGAGAAAAATAGATTTTTTGTTAATAGATGATTCAAATATTAAACATACATCCATAAATTTAATCATTCACAGCAATTATAGAGTATGCTCTGAATCAAGGGTAATAAAAAGACAATTGGTACCATGCACATTTTTCACACTGTATCTGAGAAGAGAACAAAACTGTTGTGTACTTACTGGCTTGAGTATAGAACTATTGCAACTCTTCTGTCAATTTGTAACTAAACAGGATCTTTTAATTTAGATAATTGATGGTACTGCCATTTTACAGTGACTTCCTTTTTCCATTTGTTCATATTTAATACTGCTCGTTCTCAGCAGCTCATACCTTTGTGCTGCTGGGCATTGCCCAACCCGTGACCTAATGGTAGAAATCACACTTAATGCACACAGCTGCTCAGAGAACTTAGGAATGGTGCCGCCTCTGAAGAACTTACTAACGTGAGAAACTTTTCTAACGATGGACATATTTATTTCATATGGATTCTGGAAAAGATAAGGTGTGGTGAGAGCAGGTCAAGACATCCCTGCAGCGTGGGGCGGGGAAGCCACTGAGCACAGGCTCTCCCCCTTGGGCCTCAGAGCTTGCCCATCCCTCGGGGCTGTCTGGCTCAGTGACAGAGGCTACAGGCACTCTCCCTCCACTCCCAAGGGGTGTTCTACTTCTTCTAGAAAGCTGGACAAAACCCCTTTTCCAGGGGTCTGTTAATGTGGCTAAAATTGGCTGACAACCTGGACTTTGAAAAGACTTCCCTAAGCACCAAAGGGAGTGAACACAGGGTCCAGGCATCTGGCTCACCCGGAAATGCCTTCTGTACACTCCTCTGGGCCCAAACCCCATTTTCTGAGCAGTACCCTCCGCTCTCCTACCTGCAGAGGTAGAGAGGCTTATATATAACCAGAGGCTCAGGACCAACTTTAGCATCAGACTTTATGGGTTCAGTTCATAGCTGTGAGTCCTTGATCCCTCTCTGACCTCAATTGCCTTGTCTCTAAAATAAGGATAATAGGGGCCAGCCCAGTGGCGTAGTGGTTAGGTGCACCCACTCCACTTCAGCGGCCCGGGGTTCACAGGTTCAGATCCTGGACATGGACCTACACACTGCTCCTCATGCCATGCTCTGGTGGTGTCCCACATACAAAAAATAGAGGAAGATTGGCACAGATGTTAGCTCAGGGCAAATCTTCCTCCAGCCAAAAGAGGAAGATGGGCAACGGTTGTTACCTCAGGGCCAATCTTCTTCACCAAAAAATAAATAAAAATAAAATAAGGATAATAATGATGCCTGTTTTGTAGAGTTGTTATGATTAAAATACAAGTGAAATGTTCAGCATCATTCCAGATAAGCCCTTAATAACTGGCAGCTACTGGTCTCTCAGCCTCTCCATCTCCTGTGCATCTGGCCTATCTGCTGTCAGCCTTGCTGTCCTAAAATACCACCTTCCACAAGCAAGAACACCCCCACACAGCCTCCTGGTGTTGCTCCCCTCACGGCTGGCCCTCGGAAGGCCTGTCTGCAGTCCCGGCCGCGCTTCCCCCTCCTCTCCTCACTGATTCTGCTTTTGTCTTCCATCATACCATCGAAACAGTATTCCTAGGGAGGTCACGAAGGGCCTCCCCAACGCAGCACTCGTGGTTCCATCCCTGTGTCCTCAGTCTCAGCAGTGTTGGTTACTGCCGTCTCTTCCTTGGTGACACGTTCTCTGCCTGTGTGGCACTCCTCAGGACACAGACCTAGGACCTCTTCTCCCCCGACTCAGACCTCTCTCCCTTGGGGTCCTCCTCCATTCTCGTGCTGTTCCACACCAACTGACAGCTCCCTAATGTGTATCTTCAGCCCAGACCAGTCCCTGAAACTTTCAACTTGGATATTCCAGGACCTACCTTATATCTCTGTTTGTGCCTCAGCCATTCTAAATTCACATACTCCAAACTGAGCTCTTAGTAAATCCTTCACAAATCTTATCTTCCTTTCTTTCCGTCTGAGTAAATGGTATGTCCGTCTACCTCATTGCTCAAGAAACTTGGGACAACCTTGATTCCTGCCTCACCTTCACCACCTCTCATGAAATTCGTTGCCAGTTTCTCTTGACAGTACTACTAAAATAGATTTCAGGTGCTCTTCACTCCTTCTCCACTGCCACCCGGGTCCGGCCAGCACCAGCTCCCCCTGCACTTCTGTTCTGCCTGCACTTCCCTCCTACTCTAGTCCCTGTACTCAGTAGTCCCAGTGATCTTTGAACTGTCAGTGGGATCCTAGCACTCCTCTGCTTGAAACCCGTCTGGCCAAAATAATCATAGAATAGAATCCCAAATCTTACCTTCCTGTGGTACCCCTAAGCCTCATCACAAGCTACCTTGCCTTTCTCTCTAGGGCTTTTCTCTTTATTTCAGGGCCATCATGGCTGCTGTTACCTCTGCTAGAATGTTCTTCCTGCTACTCTTCACCTAGCTAATCCCAACTCAGCAGGAGAGGCCGTCCCTGAGCACCCAATCTCAGTTGAGCCCCTTCTGTTATTCTCTCTCACCCCAGACTGTCTTTCTTCTTCATTGCCTTCATCACAATTTGGTGTACGTTTGTATACCTCCTGATGGGCCCTGGACTGCTAAGGGTACAGACTAGGTCTGTTTTGTTCCCAATTGTTTGGCCTGTACCTGGCACCTTGAGTACCACACAGGAAGTGCTCAAGTTATCTTCCTTGAATGAATGATCACCAGCTCCTTGCCATTGAGTATAATAGGGGAGGTTGCAGGGGACCTGCTGGTCTGGTTTAAGACTCAGCTGTCTCACCACCATGGCCTGGGTTCGTTTCCCAGTCAGGGAACCACACCACCCATCTGTCAGTTGTCACCCTGTGGCGACTGCATGTTGCGATGCTGAAAGCTCTGCCATCGGTGTTGCAAATACCAGCAGGGTCACCCATGGTGGACAGCTTTCAGCAGAGCTTCCAGACTAAAACAGACTAGGAAGAAGAACTGGCCACATACCTCCAAAAATATTGGGCATGAAAACCCTATGAATAGCAGCAGAGCATTGTCTGATCCAGCTCTGGAAGATGAGAGGGTGGTACAAAAAGACCAGGCAGGGTTCTGCTCTGTCGGACACAGGGTCCCTAGGAGTCGGAATCCACTTAATGGCACTAACACCAACGCATGGCAATGGCAGTCCAAAGCACCGATGCCACACTAGAGGACACCTAGAGTGTGGACCCAAAATGTGCCAGGTGATGCAGGGTTGGGGACACCGTGGCAGTTCTTCTTTGTCATGTGTAGAGAGGGAGGGGGAAGGGACCCTGCAAGACTCCCCGGAAAAGCTGAAGTTCAAGGTGAGAATGTGAGACCAGAAAGAGAGTGGGAAGAGGGCCATCTCTTCTACCCTTTCTCCTGCCCCTCTGCCCGCTCCTGTGACAGTCTCTCCAGCTCTTCAGCTTCTTCCAGTCTTGCCCTAGAGTTAATCCAGGACAAGGTCTACAGGAGTTACACTGAAGGAAAAGAAAAACAGGAACCAGTAGAAATTGCTGCCCTGTGTCTACCGCCTGTTCATTTCTTGCCCCCGTACCCATTCCCTGGGCTTCACGCCAGCTCCTGCAGAGAAATGGCCCAGAAGTGATGGTGAAGGGAAAGACATTGAAGGGGCTGTTGGGTAATGGGGGACCTCTGTGACCCCAGCTTTTGGTTTTCTTATTTAATGGAGTAAACGTCTTTGGCAGAACCTAGAAAGTGCTCTGCTGTGTGTGATGGTGCAGGTGAAAGGGCAAGAGGCCCTGGACAAGCATGGCTGAAAGAAGAAAGACCAAAGAAGAAAGTGCCGCCAGGCCAGAATAGGCCCAGTGTTCCCAGGAAGGCCCTGTGGGGACAGCCCTGCTGCTGTGCCAGGGCCACCACCAGCAGCTCCGTTTAGATAGATGTCTCCCTCGTCCTCCCTCCCAGGAGGGGAAGTACATTCCGCTGATTCACTGACCTGACACAGGAGGAACCTCCAAATACATTTTCTTCTAGAAACATAGTACACAAAATGGTTGGGGTCTATAGAGTGTCATGCTGTGGATCAGCTATGGACCAACCAAGCCATAACCACCATTCATGAAATTGTTACTAAAGGAAACCGTATTGTAACTTTCAAGCAACAGATTTACAATTCAGTTATTGAACATTTGCTGGGTATCAATCACTGTGCAATGTGTTGTCATTGCATTTGATTCTTCTGGCAACACTATGAGGAAGATAGGCCCATTTTACAGATGAGTAAACTGAGATTTAGAGGTTAAGTAGCTTTCCCAAGGTCATATAGTTAGTAGTGGTGGCTCTAGGACTCAGACCCAGGTCTGACTCCACATGTTAACCATTATGATGCACTTTCAAACATACTTATTTCTTAAATTAGGGACTGCATTTACCTGAATATCTCAAGACCTTTTCCATCAGATTTTTTTATCACTCTCTTTCTTCTAACACTATATATATATCCTTTTTGAAAGCATTTCTTTGAGCATTTCTCTAGTTTCTTGAGTTGAAGCGGAAGCATATTCACATTATTTTGCAAATGAATACTTGGTAGATATTCACTGATACTGTAAATATTAAGTGCTGCTGTGACGATGAGGAAGATTCACAAATTGGATTTGTTATTGCATTTTGAACTCTCAATCTTCTTTCTTTAGTAACCCATTTCTATTTAAAATTTTGTTTCTTTCTTACTGAAAGGAAGAAGATTTCTCTCCCCACGTCCGCGGTAGTCTGCCTCTGGCTTCGGCACCTTCCCAGCCTTGAAAAAGCAATGCTGCACCTTTTCGAAAAGCTAATCTCCAGTGAGAGAAATTTTCTGAGGATCGAACGCTTCGTGAGAGATTCCTCGCTGGTACGCGCTGGGCTTTGGTGAGGAGGAACGTCCTCACGGAGGATGCTGGGCATCTCTTTCAGTCAAGGCAGGGGAAAGTGTAAACGAGAGCAGTTGGCGCCTTTTAAAATGATCATGTATCTACATTTTAGTTTAAAAATACCTCATGTAGGGGCTTTTCCGCGTACTTGGAGCATGAATTGAAAACAGGGAGATTCGAGATCTTCTTACTGTTGCACTTTATACTGCTTATTCACCAAAATTGATATTAGGGCACACTTTTTTAAAACAGTATTTATTTTCAGATGAAAAGTAAGTTTTAAAAAATGAAGATCTTATAAACAAGAGGAGGAGTAAATTAACAAAGAAAAATATTCAAAAAATAAATTTTTAGCTCTTCACTACAGGAAAAATAAAACACTCAAGACAAAACCCCAGAAATATGGTTAAAACAACAAAAACAAGTAAGAATTCTGTAAGTTCTCTTTTGGTGTAAGCCTGCCAGCCTTGAACCCTCCCTCTGTGCAGAGGCTCCCTCCCTTGTCTCCCCTCATACTGGGGACTTCTCAGTCCTGGGGAGTCAAGGGCCCCACGTTCGCATCCCACGGCAGGCGGGCTGGGCTCACCGGCGGTCTCAGAACCTGACCAGTCGGGGCGTTTTCCCTCTGTAGGAGGCAGCTTGGGGATTTATATGCGCTTTATAAGAACAAGAATAGTGACCAGTGCACCCTGGAAGAAACAATTTGGAAACTGCAGGTGCCGTGCTCCCGGGGCATCTGTCCTGCAGGGACCTCAGTGGACTCGAACTTGTTTTCTCATTAGCTTTCGTAACCTGGGAGAGATAACGGCGCAGAGATTTTCCTCCTCTTGTACAGATGGAGAAAATTAGTTCAGAGGGAAATGGTGAACGGTCAGACCTTAAGTCGGTGGCTAGGAAGCTGGGCAGGAGAGTGTTCACCTTCCCCCCTGGGCTGAGAGCTGCGGGGTGAAGCTCTGTGCATGGAGCGCTCCGAGGCTGGCCGAGTTTACACAGCCCCCACCTCCCAGGCACCTTCTGTTTATTTAATTCAGTTGAAACTTCCTGTTTTCTTTCTTCCTCTTTCACTTTGCACACTTGCAAGGGAATCATAACTTAATCAATTGGCTTCTTCCCATATCCCATTTCTCTTTATAGGTCCCACACATTCTGCGCCAGCTCACCGTGTGATTGGCCTGGCCATGCCTGCCTTCCCCTCGCTTCCTGGGTCCCTCTGCCTTCCGCTCCGGGGCTTCCCGGGTGCCTGGGCAGCACTGCAGGCGCCACTAGCCATGCTGCTTTCACCTGTGTGCGAGGGGGACCTAGCTCTTTGGAAGTTTACAGTGTTTGATAGGAAAAAAGAAAGGAAGGAAGGAAGATAGGCATAAAGAATGAAAGAGCCCAAAGAGAGATTTTTTAGGAAAATTACTACTTGACCTCATCATTCAGAAGTTTCATATTATTAAGGCAAGAAATAAGAATACACCTTATATAAAAATATTTGCAATAAAACTTAAAATAAACAAAGGCTTTTAGAAGCTCCCTGCTAGCCCATTCCAAGTATTACATTTATTATCAGGTAAATCTCTTTATTTCTAACTTAAATGTACATGCTGTAATTTAATTTTCTCTGGTCCTTTTTCAGTGGCAAAATATAGTTGCTGAGCTATTTCTTTGCTTTCAAGGTCCTGATTAAATTTTGTCTTCTCCCTGTAGGAAAATTTGAGTTCCGTCAGCCTTTCTAACGTGGTTTCATTCTGCAACCTTGTGCTTGTTCTTTGAACCTTCTCTACGTCCTTCCTAACCTGCAGCCCTGAGGCCTGAGCAGCACTTCACTAAGCACAGGACGGGGCCGTGGATGAGAGAGGGAGCAGGCGTTCCTGTTAAACGTTGCAGTGTCTAACCTCCAGTCTCCAGTTTATAGTTTAATCTCGCTCCGTCAAACCGCTTCGAAGTCAGTTGATTTACAAAAGCATTTATCAGGATCATGTGCGTAGCGATTTGGAGCCTCCATTATGGTTAAAGGGGGATTCCAGAGGGTGTTATTTGGCTTAATTTATTGTGGCATTGGCAGGATGTGACCTCTCCGTGCCTTATGGTTTGAGGAGGTAATTACAATACGGAGCTGGAAGTCTGTGATTGGCGTGGGCTGTTCTCTTTAGGCATCCTGGGCCTGCAGTGTCAGAAAACCAAGCAGGCTGGAATAGGCCTGTGAGTGACCGAGCGATTAGAAGGGTAACCTGAAGACCTGCTTCCTAATTGCATCATCTGACTCATTTATCTCAGCAAGTATCTTGGGGCAGTGACAGGACCATGCAGAAGTATCAGAGAGATCTTGAAGACTCAGATAGCATGGGACTGCTGTGCTTTCCTCCAGAAGAAACTTGATGCCTATTACGTTAGAGTTGTATTCTGAGAGTAATTAAAGTGTGATGGTCCACGTAACGTGTATTTTATATGGAGCACTGTTAATTATGTTTCCGTCTCTTGGGACTATCCAGAATTAGCCCTGGAAATTCTATAGTTACCAAAATGTTACAAAAACAAAAGATAAAAGTGTGGTAGAGGTTGTACAAAGTAAAGTGGTCTCCCCAAGTGTTCCTCGGCCTCTCGGGGACCAGAGGCCTGGTCCTTTCCATCAGGGCCGTGAATAATAAGGTGCTAGTCCAACAGCACTTGAGTTCTAGATGCATATGTATGTTTCTGACTTCTAAAATAAAAATAAGTTTGTAAAACCTGTTTACTTTTGAGACTTGCTCTGGCTCCATGGGCTGGACTGTCCCCCCAAGTACATGACCACCTGCTGCATTTGCTGGCTCCAAAATAAATTGCAGTATTAACCCCAGTTTGTCATGTACTGTGCAGGCTGACACTTTTCAAAAGCAGATGGTCTTGTGTTTCCCTTGACAGAGCAGGCACTGAAAGACTGTAGTCCATAGCTTCAGACCTGACCTTAGAAACTGATGTCACCAAAAGCAGTGAAAGCCACTTGCTAATTATGCAGCTTTCTTGGCACTGTTTGGTTTCCCAAGGCTGGCCCCGAATCAGAGGGATGTTGTGTTTTCCAGTTACAGTTGTGTTTGTGGAGCCCAGAAAGCTATTGTTTACATTCTGCATTTGAATGAAAAGTGCTGGCTGGGGGCAGGGTGGCGCTGTGCCTGGTGGCCCTGCAGCATGCCAGGGCCAGTCAGACCCTGGTTCCCATGCCCTCCACTCGCTCCTGAATCGGCTGAGCCCTCACACTGCCGGCCCCTCAAGCTGAGCCCAGAGGGGCTGCTCCCTGGCCTTCGCAGACAGATTTGCCCACAAGAGAGTGGGGAGAAGGGGGGCAGCAGGGAGGGAGTAGGGACAGAGTAGGGAGGGGGGAGCAGAGAGGGGGGCAAGCAGCAGGGAGGGAGCAGGGAGGGAGCAGGGAGCCGGGGGGAGCAAGGAGCAGGGAGGGAGCAGGGGGAAGCAGGGAGCAGGGAGGGAGCAGGGCAAGAGCAGGGAGAAGGAGAAGGGAGGCCCGGTTGGTCTGGGGTTTTGTTTATTCTGATTTTAAATCAGAAAACACTCCTCGTACTGAAAACACTCTCTCCTACTGAAAGTTTTCATTGCTCAGTTAAAAGTAATTCTTTATCTTGTGAAGTGAACCTCAGTAAAGCTGGGGGGAAAATTATTCTTGATCTGATGAGAGCGTAAGAATGAGCGCCAGGCAGGTGCCTCAGCGTCCTCCGTGGCCTCCGGAGGTGGGATGGTTTGGGTCCTCTCCTTCCTCCGCACGAGAGTCAGCCGCAGCCCCTTCAAAAGGAAGAGAAACATCCTTTACGCAGAATTCCAAACACAATGCCCATTTAGTAAAGACTATCCTAAGAATTAACTCCAAGTCCTGGATGATGCCAGGTTTCTGTGCCTGAATAACTTCTTACTGATGTTCTAGGCTTTTCTTTTCCTCGTTTTCATTACCAGCCTTTTAAGCATTTCTCTTGTGAACCCTTAAATGTGATGCATGTAATTGAACAAAGCTGAAGCAGGTAACAGCGGTGGGGTAAAAGCGCCCCTGCGGAGAGCCACTTCTCGGTCGGCAGCTGCACTTCCCCGCGCCGGCCTCGGGGGGGCGCCAGATGCCCCCGCATGTCCGGGAGGGGAGGCCCGGCTCTCTTTTCCCCGTTGTGCGTGCCCCGCTTCGCAACCGGGCGGAGAGAGGGGAGAGAGAAAAAGGCAAACAGCAGCGGGGCCCCGGCGCCTGGGCTCACGGCGCTCTGAGGCCGAGCGAGGGGCGGCAGCCCGCGAAGAGGAGCCGCCGCCCGCGCCGCCACCCCGGGCGCCCCCGGCCCGCGCGCCGCGCCGCTGCCCGCTCGAGCGCGGCAAGCTTGAAACGCGCCGCTCCGTTGGGCGCCGAAGTTGTTCTTTTTATTTTTAAAGCCGAGAAATGACAGATTTATCACTAGCTAAACAATAATTGCGTTATGGAGGGCTGAAAAAAATTGCTTGTGGTATAAACAACGTCTGGTAAAGATTAAAAAGAATGATTTTTCCCAGCTCAAATTGGTTGAAAGAAATTTGAATGTTTTGAAACAAAATAGATTCTAAAATGTAAAAGGGATGTTTACAGTCTTATGTCTAGTATTTAGAAAGTAGACAAGAAGAAAATGGCATAATAAAAAATACATATTTATGAAAGTGCCTTATTTTGCATGATAAATATGAAGGATTTTTATATAAGTAGATTTTTAAAAAAAACAAATTGGTTTTGAACTCAGTAAAGGAGTTTACTGTTGAAATCTATCTTATGAAGAATCCTTTTTCTAAAAAGAAAGGTTTTTTAAACGAATATAGTCGCCCTGCAATTTATAGACATATGTTGGCGCAGGGCTGGCACCTGTCGAGGGCACAGCGGTCTGGAAGGGGCTGCACGCAGGCTGGGCGACCTGCCGGGAAGGCCGCCCGCAGCCCCTCCTTTAAAGAAGAACGACTGCTCCTCAGTCAAGTATTTGAGCCACATCAAAATAGACTATGACGGAGAATCTGTTCCAGGCTTACTGAACTTCAGCTTCTTATCTCTCGGCTGCACTCCCCCTCTTTATTTTTTAGGAGAAAATATATTACTATGAAGGTTGATAAATGAAAAAGACTTGAGAATTTTTTTTCTGTTTCTTCACTGCCTTTTTATTTTTTGTGAAGCATTCACTTTTGTCTGTGAATTACCTCAAATCACAGTATAATTTCCCTTTCTAGTTTATATTTTCTCTCTTTCTCTGCCTTTCCTTATATTCTCACACACACAGAGAATCAGAAAATGATTAAAAAAAAAAAGGAAAAATTTCTTGCTCAGAATTCTGTTCTTCCCTGTTCTCAGGCTTCTTTCAAGTGGCAAGTGGCTTGTAATCATTGATGAATCCAGATGAAAATAACAGATTAGACATCAGGGCAGAGAGCCAGCATCAGTGCTGTACCATTCATGGTACAGAGTGACAAGCTGGCCTCTCCCCATAACGCAGGCCTGGAGGACACGGCCACTGTGCATTTCTTCTGTGTTGACTTTGTCTTCTCTTATTTTCTTGAAGGATGGGAATGAGCTGTTCTTGGCAGAGAGGAGATCAACAGTACAGTCCTGGGTAGCCATGGGATAAGGGCAGGAGATGCACACCCAACAGAACAATCTGGGCCATGAGAAAAGGAGGCCAGAGTCTGGAGCTCTCCATCATCGTCTCCGTTCATCCTCCGACATTCAGTGAAAGGACTGGGGCAGCGTGACAGGGGGGAAGAAGGGCGGAACTCATGTTATGGTCTCCTGATGGTATGGTTTCCCTAGACTTGAAATAATCTGTACATGGCCAGATGGAGAAGAGGAGAGCTTGAGAAGGAACAGATTTTGGTAGGATGGAGAAAAACAGACAAACAGATGGAACCCAAGAGAGATTTCCTTTTCTTTTCCTCATTTTTACTGAAAAGATAATTGCCCAGATTGTGGGGCATCAGAGCTGGGCCTGGAGCTCTGCTGGCAGAGTGGCCTGTGCTATGTTACTGGAGGGTCCTATTTTACAGATAAAACAGGACACGGAGGGGTTAAATGTTTGCCTCTTCTTTAGGGGGGAAATTTATGGCTTCCAAAGAAGCGTAATTAAGACTTTAATTCTATCGGCAACATTCCCTTGATAAGAAAAGCAGCTTCAGTTTGCCTTTGTGATTCAACGTCACTGGGACACATGCCTGGCCTGTGAGCGCTCCAGGCTTCACGAGGGGACGAGGGGACGCACTGACCCTGAAATTATGTGCTCAGGAAGTGTGAAGAGGCTCATTTTAAAACCATCAGTAAGGGCTGCGGGTGAGAAAGCTGTTCACAGCTCTGGGGGGGGCACAGGAGACCAGCTTAAAACCCAAATCTGCTGTTGCTGTCTCAGAAGGGTTCCCTAGCTCCTGGCATCTTACCTGTTCTAAAGCTAAAACCATTGTGAAAGCAGGCTGGGAGCAACCAAAGGTCTCAAGCACTTGGGCAGCAGGCGGTCAGAGGAGAGCTCGTTGACGTGGAGAGCACGAGCAGGCTGCACCCAGGGCTGAGACGTCGAAAACAGCAGGTTGAGCTGTTTTGCTGGAAAATACTGTGTGAAAGAAAAATCTGTCCAGCTCTAGTCCTCTTTCAACAAGTTGAGTGAGACTTTCTCACTCCCCCCTTGATGTTCATGGTAGCCCTATTCTACACATTGGATCATCCTTTTCTTTGGCATTCGGAAATCGCCATAATTAATATTGAATGATTTTCTAACAGTATCAAATTTATAGAGTGGCTCTGGGGTAGTTAGGCCATTTAGAACAGAATGAATGGTTTTGTTTTACCGTTTTCAATTTTGGCTTCCTATTGTACATTTTCATGGTCTGTGTGTCTGCCCATGGGCGTGTGGCAGTGTTGTTTGGCCTTAACTACTCTTATTCAAGAGACTATGTATGAAACTTTGAAAAACTGTTCTGGCAAATTTGATGAATTACACTTCTTCAAGATATGCAGTTTGCTTTTCGCTTCTCATTTGATTTTTCCATTATAAATATGTAGAAAGTTTTATGGTATTTTCTGGGCATATATCCAGTGAGCTCTTAATAACTGCTATTATTTACAATGAGGCTGAGAAGTAGGGAGATTAACTGACTTGCCTGAGATCGAAACCTAGACGTAACCTGCCTCTCTTCTGTTGAACTGCAGTTCTGCCAAATTGCTCTCCTGAGTGCGTAACGAATCTATCAGTGAGGATTTTTCGTTGGTTTCTTTTAGGTAAAACTGCACACCACTGAAGGATTAGGGAGCGTGGATTACTCTGCTTAAAGAGTAGAGGTTTGTGACTTGCACATCACACAGCTCCCTCTTCACAGTTAAAAGGAAGTCATGCTACCATTTTAACAGGTGGCTGTGCTCTCGCCACAGCCTTCTGTAGTGGCAGCGTCTGAACGCTAGGTGGCACACGCTCAGTGTTGCTACTCGAAGTGCTGGCACAAACAAGAGAGGAGAAGAAAGTCTGTCGGGAGGGGTCCCGTTCTTCAGTGTGGTCCAGAAAACTTGAGAGGCAAAGCATATCCTTTTTTCTTTTTTCTTATTGAGGGTGCTATGAAAAAGTGTTTCCCAAAGCTAGTCATATTAGGTGCAATATGACTAGAAAAATTCTCCACAGAGCCTATTCCATTCACATTTGGATACTACCATAAAATGCCTGTTTTAGAGTGTAAATGGCATTTTCGTCGGGCTTTGTCTCATGGGTCGCACTCTGGCCAGAAGATGGGGAGCCTGGATCAGGCCCTCGGAAGCCCCACCCAGGCTGCCGGAGATCTGCTTCTGCAGATTGAAACCATCAAAAACTGTCAAAAAAGAAACTTTCTCAGGATAAATTAGATCACTTTCTTTGTTCACGATGATGGTGTCTTTATTCTTTTCATCAACCTTCTTTTTATCCTAAATAACTTGAGCTCTGACTTTGTAGTGCACTAAGACCTGGTGTTGAGTCCAGCACGTAGTCGTCACTGCTTTCCTCAACAATGACTCTAAGCTATTACGTACTCGTTACCCAGTGCGCAAGAGTGAAAAGAGAGTGGCCCAGAGCTGAGCTGCACGCCATTCTGGGCCGTGTGAGGAGCTCAGGCTCACGGGCACATGACGGAAGACTAGCCACACAGGCAGACCCTGCGTCTTCACTGCAGGGTGCTGGTTGAAGGTGTATTTTTAATTTTCCATGATACTTATTAACTCTTTTTTCTGGATCCGATGGGCTTGTTTTAGAAACTGTGGAACACACAGGAGTGTGGAGAGGAAGTAAAGCTTGTCTGTGAGCCCTGCCCCACGAGGACCGCTCGGGCTCGGGCGCTCGGGCTTGGGCACTTGGCTTCTCCCACGCACTGGTGACTCTTTTTTCTAACCCAAAGGAATATGCCTGTTTTCTAGACACCAGCACTTCTGGACAACTCATTTGCCTGATAGCGGCAAGTCGCTGTTGGTGAAATGCTTCTGATATTTTAATTTCTCATGATCTCCTCCTTCACAGCCTGAAGCCGCCTGCCACCCTGCCATATTCAGAATTGTTGACGAAACATTCAGGTAAACGTTGTGCTGTTTCTGCTAGTAATTCATCTAAAAATGCTCAGTTTACAAATATGAGGAAAAAATTCTGTCGTAGTCTCTGGCTGTACCATGAAGAAATTAGCTTGTGATTCTATCTTACCCCTCTAAGCTTTTTGGTAAAATATAAATGTCGGTATATATTTAAAAGCCAATGCCTAAGAATTAAGATAGCTTCTTTTTTTAACCTTCTAAAATTCTAATAATAATGGTAGAAAAACAGAGTTGGACTAGATATTAAATCATTAAATATTCATGTAGGATTTTTCTCAGCTCAAAATATAGGGTAGCAGTGTACTCCCTTCACCACATGAGGGCTGACCAATCTTTTTAAAGGATTTTAAAGCTAAGGAAGACTCAGAAAAATAAATAAATAAATCTGTTCTTAGCTCTTCTGAAAGGCACAATCAACTATGTTGTGTTATCTTACAACACATTAATTTTTATTTTGTAAATATGAGTACTCCTTGGGAAATGTGTTGGATTTACAGGTGGTGAGAGAAAAGAAGACCAGTGGACACCAGGACGGGTTATGGCTGGACTTAGTGGAGACTGGACCCTCTTGGGGAGCTCGTCACTCGGGGAATGTTTCCAGCCTCCTTCCCGGGTGCTGGTTCAGCCGGGGTGCCCCCCCGTCCACCCCCAGCCTCCTCACACTCAGAGGAGAGGCCCCTAGGCAGACAGCAGACGCTGGGGAGAGGAATTTTTACAACAGCAAATAACCTAGCACTTGGCTTGGTCTTGAAACATACTAACTTTAAACTAAATGAGCATAGAAGGAAGTCAGGCTGCTGCTTTTAGTTTAAGCTTAGCAAAATTTGAGGTGATTTTTTTGTTTAAACATAAAGAAAAGTTAGTTGTATGAAAATGCATGGAAACCAAACCAGGTCCACGCATGTTCTTCCCCCGCTTTGACTGAGCCATTTTATGCCCTTGGGCAGCTCTCTTTCTGTTTAAAAAAGCAAAAGGTCTGTTGGTGTTGCATATCTGAGCATACGGTGTGCAAATATTTGTAAAGAGCATTCAGGCCTGTGTGGAAGGGATACACAGTGCTTAATAATTTAAAAACCAAGAAAGGGTACTCTGCACATGGCAATTTTAGAAAATATTTAGAAAACGAGTGACCAATTTCTCGTGTTTTCACACAAGGACTGAAGTCTGATGAGTCGAGGTACTGCTGAAGCTTGTGGCACAAAAAGAAGGTTTCCACTCTTCCCTTTCACACTTCAGGTTCACGTGTTTGCAGATTAATCATTAAATGTGTTGTGATCTGACTTTGCATTGCTCAGGTACGCACTCCTGGAAACTGATGGAGCCCCAGAAATCCTGGCCACCATTCAAGTGTTTACACGGTGTTTCTTAGAAGCTCTGGAAAAAGAAAACAAGCAGGTCTGTTATGTTGCATATATTATTCATTTCCCAAAGGAAAAAAGACTTTTAAGAGTCTTTGGCTAATCACCAGAAAGGAGCACTTTATTTTCCGTGATTTTGATAGACTGTTTTGCTCATGAAGAAAGTTTCCAAATGAATGCCTCAGCAAAGGTAAAACCATTTTAATTGAAAATAGTTCTTGCCGGCCCTGTGCCCTGGTACCCACTGTTGTATCAGAGAACTCTGTCATGCCAGCGTGACATGGAGGATGAATTTTCCAGGCCTGTGTTGTATCCTGTCTGTTGAGCCAGACTCTGTTGCTCCTAAGCCAGTGATAGGTCTTCTGGAGTCTTTGTGGCGTGTGCTAAGAACGAAATGCCGCTCCTTACAAAGCAATACTGGACATTCTTAATTATTAGAGTTTCCTTTCCTATCAGAGACCCCAATGTGAGTCAGATTCCTGGAGAGAAAGGAGATAGTGAGAGTGACAAGGAAAGATTTGAATAACTGTAGAGGAGGAGCTGGGAATGGCAGTGACCAAGAGGTGTCCACTGGACACAGTCAGTAAGCAGGAAGCCAGGCCTGGGGCCTGCGGGAAGACTCACGCTGCGGGATCCCATTGGCAGGCGCGCCATGTGCCACGGGGACCTTTTCTACCAGAGAGCTTTCGCCTTCGGGTGTTTGATGGGCCTTTACTGCTAATGGCCACAGGCCTACCGTTTCTGTGGTGCTTTTCCTGGTCTAGTGCCCGGGTCCACTGCAGCTTCCTGTGAGGTACCCTGTGGTCCCTTGTGATGCTTTCCAGAATTGGACTCAGGAGAGCAGCGTTGTGATGCTCAGCTCTACTAATCCCATACCCCTACGCCAAAGAAACCCCACAGGTTTGAGCAGATGCTTCTGCTTTTAAGGCAATGATAAATATTTATGATGTATTTTTTCCCACCCTCTCTTTCCCTAGGGAAGTTAGCTAGACTGTAGACAAACAGAGTTATCAATGGTACCCAGCCTGGAATTTGGGAGGAGAGCTCTGCTGAGAGGCAATGGCTGGCCCTTATACTTATTTTGAGATGTAATTATAAATATCTTTTATCCTCCCTGTACATTCTTTATATTCCCAATTAGGAGCCAGCATCTAGAAAACCTCTCCCTTTGACTCCTGGAACACGCCTAGGTTGGGGTGGAGGACGCTGGTGAAAGAAGTGTTGCTCTGTAGTGTTAGTTTGAGTCCGGTTTTCCTGTCTGCCGTGCTCCTGAGTCGCCGTGTTGGCCTTGGCACTATGGATTTGCACTGGAGCTGCAGTCGCTTTCACTTTGGAATAGCACCCTGCCCAGGCTACGTGTGTCTGGTGGTGTGGGGGGCATACGCTGGGTCCTGGTGGAAGGCAGGGCAGGGATCCAAAAAGAAACAAACTCATCGCCCCTCACCTTGGGCTCAGAATATGAGAGCGATAGCCTCTTCCCTCGCAGTGCCTTCCTAGACACGTGTGCTGTTTCTCTTCTCAGGCTGTTACTGATGGCCTGCCTTTCTAACTGATGGCCGCTCTCCTCACTGATCCCCTGCCTTACCGAGGGCCCATGTTTAGATTAATCATAATCCTTGATGTACGATGCCCTGTGTCCTATTTGGTCGAGGCATGACCTTCTTTTCTATTTCATTCATTCATTCATATATTTATTCTTAATAAAATGAACTTACTTGTATCCACGTGGTCCTCCTCTGTCCTACAGCCCTGCCTTTCTCCCCCGAGGGAACCACTGTCTTGAATTTATGTTTATCATTCCTTTGCTTTTTCTGAAAATACCTTGATTGTATATATACGTGATTTCCTAAACCATGTTTTCTTTACTTGTGCTTGTTTTTGCACTTTATAAAACAAACAGCAAACAAGAGGAGCATACTGTCTGCAGTCTTTGAGCCTTGCTTTTCCGCTCAGCATGTTACCAAGATTTTGCTGTGTTGTATGTAGCTTCGCGGGCTGTTGCTCTGTTGGGAAAGTGTGCCACAGTGTAGCCATTTTCCGGGGGTGAGCACTGGGGCTTTTTCCAGATTTTGTTTTCTTTTAGAAACAGTGTTGCTCTAAACATTCTAGGATATATGCTTAGGGTGGTTATTAGGCATGCAAAGGTTTAGCTTCTGTAGTTACTGCCAAATTGTTTTCATACGTGTTTGTGCCAATTTACATTCCCCCAGCAGTTTATGAGAAATCCCATTTATCCACATTCTTTCCTGTTGTCAGAAATGTTTATCTTCAGTGCTGCTCATCCTCTTTTTAGCCTTCCTCTCACCCTTGTTTTATTTGGAGAGCACACTGCAGCTGCATCAATGTGCCAGTCAAACTAGTAGGCAAAAAAACTTAAGGTTGTCATGACAAGCCACTTTTTCGGAACTTGCATAATGGCTCGGTACAAACAGCACATGAGTTCAGGTTCTAGGGGCAGAGCATGATAACGCACTAGACTCAGTCTCCCGCGGGTGAGAATTGTACACTCTGAGCAAGATACTTTTTAAAACTATTTGAAGGTGCTGTAGAGCAACCGGCAAAGCGATAGTACCTGGAGGGGGTTCCCGCCTTGAAAAAGGAGACCACATTGGGTCTCCTAACTTTCCCCCGGGGGCTCTCGTGTGAGGGTCAGGGAGGTTGAGTGAAGGCTGGGCTGGCCGTACTCCAGGCACAATCTGATTGACTTGAGGTGTCAGGAGACAGAGCTGTGGGCTGTCAGAGGAACGGAAAATAGACGGGACAAAAGGAAACGAATGTCAAAAGATAGACCTAAATCCAAACGTGCCACAAGTACATTAATAATGAAAATTAACCAAATATACTAGTAAAAAGGCAAAAATGTCAGACTAGATAAAAAAACAAGACCCACCTATATGCTGTTTTCAAGAGACCTATTCTAATGATAAAGACACAGATCAATTAAAGTGCAAGGAGGGAAAGAGATATGCTATGCAAATAATCAGCACCAGAAAGCTGGTGTGGCTCTACTAGCAGCACATGGAATAGACTTCGAGACAAGGAGTTTGGGGCCAGCCCAGTGGCACAGTGGTTAACTGCGCACGTTCCGCTTCTCGGCACCCGGGGTTCGCCAGTTGGGATCCCGGGTGCCTGGTGTGGCACCGCTTGGCAAAAGCCATGCTGTGGTAGGCGTCCCATGTATAAAGTAGAGAAAGATGGGCATGGATGTTAGCTCAGGGCCAGTCTTCTTCAGCAAAAAGAGGAGGACCGGCAGTAGATAGCTCAGGGCTAATCTTCCTCAAAAAAAAAAAAAGACAAGGAGTTTGACCAGAGATAGAGGGACATTCCATAATGGCAAAATGGCCAGGTCACCAAGAGAAATACCAATTATAAATGGATATGTGCAACAGAGTTGCAAAATACATGAAGCAAAAACTGATAGAAGTAAAAAGAGAAATAAACAAATCCACAGTCACATATAAAATACTTAGGAGTGAATTTAACAAAAGGTGTATAAGGCCTCCACACTGAAAACTGTGCAACATTGCTGAACAAAACTAAGGAAAACTTAAATATGTGAAGAGGGAAACCATATTCGTAATTATTAAGATGCCTCTTCTCCCCAAATTGATCTGTTGATCCCAGTCAAAATCCCAGCAGACTTTTCAAAGCGGAAATTAACAAGCTGATTCTAAAACTTATGTTGAAATGCAAAGGACCTGCAATAGCCGGAACAATTTTGAAAAACAAAAGCAAAAAAAAAAAAAAAAACAATCAGAGGACTCACACTACCTGATTTCCAGACTTTGAGCTAGAGTAATTAAGGCAGTGAGGTCTTGGCAACAAGACATAAATCAGTGGAACAGAATAGAGTCCAGAAATATATCTAGATCTAGATAACCATATATAGTCCATCCGTTATATCTATGGCCAATTGGTTTTTGACAGAGATGCCAAGGCAATTCAATGGAGAAAGGAAATTCTTCCATGGATGGTGCTGAAACAACTGGATATCCATACAGGAAAAAATGAACCTCTACCTACGAAACACAAACATTAGTTTGAATGGATCATAGACTTCAACATAAATGCTGAAACTATAAAGCTCCTAGTAGAAAACATAGGAGAGGATCTATGCGTGTGTGTGTGTGTGTGTGTGTGTGAGGAAGACTCGCCCTGAGCTAACATCCGTGCCAGTCTTCCTCTGTTTTATGTGGGATGCTGCCACAGCGTGGCTTGACAAGTGGTGTGAGGTCTGCACCCAGGATCTGAACCTGCGAACCCTGGGCTGCCGAAGCTGAGCGTGCAAACTTAACCACTCTGCCACTGGGCTGGCCCCACGAATATCTCTTTGACATTGGTAGAACCTAAGATTTCTTAGAAGGGATGCAAAAAAGCACTAACTGTAGGAGAAAAATGGATAAATTAGACTTCACCAGAATTAAAAACTTCTATTCTTTGATAGACATTGTTGAAAAAAGGAAAAAGCAAGCCACCAGCTGGGAGAGAATATTTTCAATGTATGTATCTGACAGAGAACTTGTGTCCAGAATATATGAAGTTCTCTTACAACTACCTAAGAAACAACTCAGTTTTAAAAAATAGACAAAAAAGACTTAAATACACACTTCAAAAAAGATATATAAGTTGGCAATAAACACATAAAAATTGTTCAACATCATTTGCCATCAGGAAAATGCATAGTAAAGCCATGAGGAAGCAACATTTCACACCCACTAGAATGGCTCAAATTAATAAGATTCACAATACCAAGTGTTTGTGAGTGTGTGGAGCAACTGGAATTCTCATCAATTGCGGTGGGAGTGTGAAATGGTACGATCACTTTGGAAAACTAGATAGCAGTTTCTCATAAAGTTAAACAAGCGTCTGTTCCATCATCCAGTAATTCCATTCCTATAGTATTTACCCAAGAAAACTGAAAGCACATGCCCACAGAAAGATGTAAATATGAATGCTAATTGCAGCTTTATTCACAATAGCCTCAAAATGGAAACAACCCAAATGTCCATCAATAGGAGAATGAATAAATGGATTATGGTATATTCATATAATGACTATTTCTAAGCAATAAAAAAAGAGTGAACTACTTATACACAATAACACGGATGAATCTCAAAAAAAAACCCCTCGAGCCAAAGAAGCCAGACACAAAAGAATACATACTCTATGGTTCTATTTATATGAAATTCAAGGATAAGCGAAGCTAATTGGTCTTGCTGAAGTCAGTATATTGGCTGCCGCGGTAGAGTGGAGCCACAGGGGAACTTTTCGAGGTGAGAGAATTGTTCTGTGTCTTGATTGGGGGGTAGTCACATGGATTTACATATCTACCAAAACTTATCAAGTTTGGGCTTTACACTTAAACCTGTGTGCTCCACTGTTTCTAGATCTTACCTCAAGTTTTTACTAAAGCACTTGAAAGCGTCTGTGCCTTCTGAGGGCACTTTGGCGCTCAGACTGCTGTGACCGCTGCAGCTGTTGCTCAGAGCCCATGCTGGAGCAGCTCGCATCGCACAGCTGCCTTGGGAACTCTCACTTACTGGGAAGATGTATGTGTGCAGTCGGGTTCATGGAAGGTAAAGAATTGATGTAAGGACATCAAGAGTATAACTTCATTTTCCTGAAATTCCAAAAGGTGGTTTTTAAAAGGTTCTTCTTTCTGGAACATATTTACGAAGTTGTTGAAAACATCTTTTTAAAAAATAAGTGTTTAAGAAAACACTCTGACCCTGTTAGTACTATTGGGGGTTTTTTGGCAGATGATGCAAGCATTTGTATTTTCTTAGCGCCCTTTCTGATCCTAATGTCCGTGCTATTTTGAACTTTCTGTTCTATTGTAGCTTAAGTTTGCCCTGAGGACCTACTTTCCTTATGCTTCGCCATCTCTTGTCACGGCGCTACTCCAGCACCCGAAAGGTATGTGAGGTTGGTTCTGCCTGTATTAAATAATTCTGGGGAAGAGTACTGACAAATCCTACCCCTCCCTCCCAGTCCCTGGTCTGTGAAACAGGGGAAGTGGAATGGTCATCTCTAACATCCTTCTAGCTCTCACGCCTCACATTCTGTGGATTTTGAAATGAGCATTTGCTTGACTTTCCAGTTATAATCACTTAGCAAAAGAAAAAAAAAAGGAAAAAAAAAACGCCTCTAGTTAGGTTTTGATAGTCTGCTCCAGATAACACAAGGCCTCTGCTGGGGCCAGCCGGGTCTACCTGGATGCCAGGAATAGGCTAAGACCTGGCTGAATTAGAGTAAAACAGTACGTTTATTTGTGTTTCATTCTTTCTACTCTGTGCCCCTTATTGCAGAAGAAAACATAAAATGATGAATGAAGCCAAAGAAATTTAGGGGAAATTTCTCCTAACCAAGCCAAGGGAAGGCTTTTGAAAGAGTTCAATAAGTGTGTTAGACCACAGCCTTCTCTGATGGCATCTGCCAGCCTTCCAAAGGCCAGATCCACTTGGGGAAGCAATCGTTCCATCTTTAATTCAACTGGTGTTGACCTGTTAACATGCCTGCGAGCTTGTGTTGAAGGAACATTTCGGAAATAGATAATAAAGTCATCCTTTCCCTCTGAAGCCTGAAGTCTGTAAAGGGCCCCATGGACACAAGCACAGACTCTGCCGTAGACGGAGGCACTCTACCTGACGTGGAAGGAAGGAGGAGAGGGAAGAGCAAGATGACGTAACAGTAGCAGCAACGTTTCCTTTTTATGCCGTGTTTTCCCTGACTTCTTCCTGAGACTTGAGGAAGTAGATTCATTTGAGGAAAACAGACGATTCAAAGTTTCAGAGTAGTTTACAAAATCCAAATTTCTCTTCCTTTTTCTAAAAGATATAGGTTCTCACCCAGAGGGACCTGTCTGACACTGCCCTCTCAGACTCAAGAGGTAGAGGGGACGCTGGGCCGGGGCAGTCTCTGCTCAGCAGTGTGGCAGCTGACCTGTGGGAGCACAGCAAGGGAACTTTCTACAGCAGGACAGACAGTCGGTAACTCTCTTGCACGTGCCTCACAGCTGAAGGCAGATCACAGAGCCCAAGGCCAGCCCATGTGAGAAGCTGAGTGAGCTCCAGAAAAAATGCTGGAGTTCTTTTTTAAGTTTGGAAATCCATAAACAAAAGATGAAAGTGGTCTCTGGGCATGAACTCAGCCTGTTTACCTTTTCCTTTCTGTGATTGTCCTAGATTTATGTCCAAAAATAAATAAGTAAATTCAAGCAGAAGTACAAGAAACCCCTATGCTAGTTTCTAGAATGGTTTTCTCCGTATTACTTTCAGAAAAAATAAATGTTATATTCACAAATTGAAGTGTTTTTTTAATAGTAGTATCTTCTATTCATCAGAAGTTGATTTCATGCCCACTGTGAAGTCCTGTGGGTATAAAAGATGGATCACTTATGAGCCCTGACTGTCCAGCAGCTGCAAGTAGGGAGACATAAAATAAGTATCTAAAGAACTCATACACTGAAGAAAATGAAAATGCCTTCACAGGCTGCAGATCAAGAGTCTGGGCATTCGGAGGAGGGAGGAAGAAGACGCAATCTTTAACCTGTAATGTTTGTGGAGCTCTGTCACTTGCATTATCTTCCTCTGTATTAATTACAGAATCTGTCACTACATGGACATGTGGTAACAACGTTTTTCAGATGTTGTTCAGAACTGCAGATACCTACATGCTCAGATGTGTTTAAGACCACAGGATAACTGTGAAGCCAGAAAAACTACTCCAGAAAAGATATTTGTTTGTATCATACCATGCATTTTTATTATCTGGCCTTTTCTTTACTATAAACCTGAAATCATATTCTGAATTCATCACAATCATAGAAAAACAGTTGGGCAGGCCATTCCTACTTCCTTGTTGACTGTTTTATTACAGTCTCCTTGTATTTTTAAATCACCAATTATTGGTGATGGGGCGGGGGCGGTAGGTAGAAAAGGAAAAACCCAGGGCTTCTGCAACACAGCATTTCTAGATCCCCAGGTGGGCAGCCTGTGCAGTCTGTCTGCTTCCGTGGCTCAGGGCCAAAGAGCCCTTGAAGTTAGTTCTGTGCAACACTGAGGGATCCTTCTTCCCACGCCTAAGAGATGGTGCTGGCTGGGAACAGCATGAGAGCGGCGGTGTGGGTTCCATGGACCAGGAAAGAAAGGCCTTTTCCACAAAACTCTTCCCATCTTAGCTGCAGATGATTCCTCATACGTTGACTTTTCTTCAGTTCATCTCCTCTCTCTCCACCTACAGATATCCCACAGGGACTCTGGCACCAGTCACTGCAACATATTTCAGAAATGCTCCGAGAAATAGTTGAAGACCAGACTCACGGGTAAGCAAACACCGCGACTCCTCGGTCTGCTTCACACATGATTTCTCGGGATCCCTATCTTCCCTTTGAGCAGGGCTGCCAGAGAGGTGCTGTTGGTCTGTGACCATCCCCAAGCAGGGAAGCACATTGCTGAGTGAGAAGTGGAGGAGGCAGAGGCCACACACATCCCTTTGAGCAACTCAGAATGAAAAGGCATGCGTCTGTAAATGCCTTTTAGAAACTGTGCTGAGGAACGGCTGGTATTAGAGTTTGAAATGTACAAGCACAACAGTACAAGGACTAGCCCTGGGGAGGAAGCAGGGCCGTGCTATGAGCCCCGGCCAGGCGGGAGGGCCCCTCGCCGGCCCTGTTTCTCTCTGTTCCTCCGCTCTCTCGGGAAGGATGCTCTACACATCCTTTTCCTGCACAGTAGAATGAAGTGTTTCTTTTTCCTCCTCTTTCTAATAAATATTTGCCAAAAATTAGAAAATCCATTCTAACATAAATTAATTTCTAACATTATGATATCAAGTACCCTCTTATATGTGTTATTTTCCTAAAAGCATTCACATTGAGGCTCTGCTAAGTTCTTTGTAATGTAACACCCTTCAGCTTTCTCTTAACTTCCTTGCTTTTAGAGTATAAGTATTTTATTCATTGTCTATACTAGCCTACTAAGACTGTCTTTATTTGTTCCTTTTGCTGCTTTTCCTGCTTGAAATTCTTTGTAATCTCGTCACTGAGCCGTCACAGATTATGTGGTGCTCTTATGTTTATGCTCACTGATGGAGATTTGGGTACTAGTTACTTACTCCTACCCTCCCCCCACCAAGATTCGTACCAATAGAAGAGACAAAAAGAACTGACAGCCAGCTGGGAATCAGAGTACTGCCATGCTAATGACCTTCCACTCCTTGGCAGCTCTTGGCGCACCCTTTCTGGTCATCTCTGTTGAACAGCAGGACCTGGACCCAAAACTTCACAGGACTCATACCTAACCTAGATCTGCCTGAACTAGACCTCAGGGTCTACCTGCAGGGAGGGTCTGTGAGCAGGTTTAGGCCCTTTCTCAGCCAGCCACATGGGACTGCCTTGCACACTCAGTTACTGGTAGAAAAGAGGGAAAGTGGCCAGGCCCATCTCTGCAAGGCAGGCCGTGAGCCCCGATCCAGGTATGATGCCCACTTGGGGAAGGAAGCATGAGGGGCTCCTGCTGCTCAGCTGACTCGTCCCTGAGGTCTTCAGGGAAGAGACCCTGGGAACCTGTTCCTTGCTTTTGGGACAAACGCAGCCCACCACTAACGTGGCCCATGGAGCATCAGCTCTCCCTCCTTGGGGACAAGTGACTAAGATTAATGCTCGCCTGCCTTCCTTTTCTCTCCATTGTTCTGTAAGCTAGGTCTCAGGACCTTTCCTTACGTGTCCTTGGGGAGGGCTTGGACAGGAGGAAAGCAGGGACAGGAGGTGAGCACAGGGCTTAGAGTGTGGGGGCTCCATGGGCCAAGCAGAGGGATACAGACCCAGAGGCAACAAAGACAGCACTGGAGGAGGGGCCCCGAACTCTCTTGTTCTGGGAGCTTCCCCAGCTCAGAAGGCAAGTTCTGATGTAACTTGATCTCAGGCCAGTCCTCCATTTTCTCCAGCGCAGATGTGAAACTGCTGAGACTGGCGCTGGGTGAAGTTAATGGGTCTACTCTTTAAACAGCTATTGGAACTCCCAGTTCCCACTGTGACAAAAGGATGGCTTCACAAAAGCTTTAACTTTTCAGCAGTGATGTAGACGTGATGACAGGAAAGAATACAAAATACAGCTCATTAAAAATTCATACTTGCCAAAATACCAACCAGAACCTTGTGTTTTGTCAGAAAGGAAATAGCACATGTTTCTGCCTGCGTCCCCGTGTCCCTTCTCTGGGCTCCATCTGGACCCCAGGGAGTGCCCTCACTTCTTGTTCTGGAGCTACCTGGGTGGCTGCCGAATGGCTGGGAGGCCCCCTCTCCACAGTGGCCCAGCTGTGTGGGCCACGCAGCAGGCAGAGGCAGGCCTGCTGGTTCTCATCCTACGTCATTCCTGTTGGTCGTGGGCTAAGATCTTCCTTTCTCAAAGGCCGGTACTCACTCAAGGTCCCTGGATGTAAAGACTTAAACGTCTGAAGTCCTCAGGGCACATGGGGTTTTAAGAGGCATGCCTTTGAAGGTCCTGTGATGGGTTCACAGTAGCACTGTGTGGTCTTTTTCTGAGTCTCACTTGTATTCCTTGCAAGTTGTACTTCAGTGGATAAGAACAATTCAGCCAACTGTTCACAGACATTACAGTTGCTCTAAGAGCCGAAAGGAAGAAGGAACGAGTTACCCACTGCGCTGTGTTTTGGTTCTGTTCCAGGTCCTATGGAGGCCCCTCTGACTGCTGGTTTGCATTCATTCACTTTGGAGGCTGGGCTGATGTCGCTGCTGAGCAGTTACTGAGGTCAGAAGCTGATCCTCCTGAAGCAGTGCTGTGGCTCTTGGCCTTTAGCTACAGTCCACGTGACGGGAGTCAGCAGAGGGCACAGACCATGGTGGGTGGCAGGACTCACTGCGTGTGGCGTTCAGGGTCCGTCTCGCAGGAGCTGAAGCGGTCCTGCAGGAAGGGCCCTGTGGCGGTTTTGGCTTTCCCCGCTCTGACCCACCAGGCACCTGAGTGCTGAGCACTCCCGGCCTTCATTGGGGGAGCCGTAGGTGACACCCTGGATGAGTGAGTGCGTCCTGGACTTATGCTCGGAGACATTCTCCTGCCTTCACAGAGGACTGGAGACCAGACCCTGCCACTCACCCCTCCTGGGAAGCACCAAGCAGATGGGGTGCAGCACTCCTGTCCCCTAGGCCATTCTGTCTGTTCTCGCTCAGCTGCTGCCTGCCCTCCTTTACAGACGCGGAATGCCCTGCAGGGTCTGCCTCTTCTGAGGAGTATTGTCCTCTCTCTGATCAGCAGCCTGGCCATGTCTGCTTCTGTCTTGACTTACTGCTTTCTTGGATCAGTCAACAGATCCTCACATTACCGGCTTTGTTTAGAATTCTTACTAGAGTAATCACATGATATTAACCACTTAGCTTCTGAAAAAGGACTTGATCATTTCCTAAATAACAGAGCAGCTAAGTATAGGACTGGCTAACTCCCTGTGGCAAAGACAGTTGTTATTTTATGTGGCATATAATAATTACGGGAAGCAATGCTTTGATTAAAAGCATTGGCACCTCCCTTGCAAACATTTATTTGCTGGTTTTGAAACTTCAAGTGCCAGCACTTTTTGCTGAGTTTAATAATTAAAGGGAGCAGGTTTCTTTATGTAGAGAGCAGTGCTCCTGTTTGCTTGATATTTTCTGTTGTTTGAACAAAGCGGAGACCAGTACAGCTCTGCCTCTGTGTTACATATTTAAAGGCTTGCATGTCAGGGGAAAGAAAGAGACAATATCACAGGTCCCCATGAAACAATGTTTAACTTTCCTTTTAACAATGGTGACAGTTAAAGAACTGTAGGCGAATGCAGAGAATTAAATAGCTGTACGAAAAACCTCAGCATCTGTGATTAAGGACCTGATAAAAACAATATAGGAAATTTATTTTGATAAAACATAAAATCCTTATCCTTCTTGTAGACTACTCAAAGAAGAAACCTTTTATAATTTTTTTAGTCAAGAATAGACTAAAAGCTCAGGAAAATTATCTTTTTTTAAGAAAGAGGAGACCAAGTTTTAATTTTGTACCAGTTTACTTTTGACCTTAATACTTATTTATTTAATTGGATTTACTTTAATCTTAGCCAACTTAATTAGGCATAAAACTCCTCAGGGTTTCACCCTTATAAACCTTTTGTCACTTACTTTTTTATATTTAGAATTTGTCCCAGGTTTCCGTTTTTTCCCCTTCTAGTACCTTAGGACAAATTTATCTTTCTTTAACTCAACAGGCAAAAATACTTTCATTTTTTTATAGCTTTTTTACTGAAAACATATGTTTTATTTTTCTTGTATACAAAGGTTTTTTCTTATTAATTTTTAGTAGCTTTAATTACATATGTTAATTAGACTCCTTAACCCTTAGAAACCTTAATTTTCAAGTGAAAACCAAGTAAGCAATTATAAACTTTCTTTTACATTAGCATTCTCTGGCTTGACAAATTTACAAATACCTTTTATAATTTTTAGAAATATGTTACTTTATAGTAATAAAATACAAGGTGTGTTTATTAATAGACCCAAACACTTTTTAGTTTCTCTGTAATAGCCAAAAGTAGATAAACTTAGACATGTTCAGCAGTAACGTTTCAGTGTTCCATCCTATTCAAAAATGACCCAGATATTCAACAGGTTTTGTCATTTAACTTAACTTAAAACTTTAGAGTTTTACTAAGTTATCAAAAAAGATTTCGGAAGTTATTTTTTAAGTACACAGATCATAAAACATAATTATTGTTAAAACGTTCCTCCAAAAACTTTGTCTTTTTACATTTATTTGGTTTACCCGTTCTCAATAATTATATTTAGATCATCTACAAAAACCTCATGAGGCATCTAACATGAGCTGTTATACCAAGTTATTTATTTTTTGCTGAAGAATTTTGTAACAGAGAGAACATGAGCTCGTTTGACCTGTAAACCCAGCTGTATGTCTGCATCGTATCTGATGCTGATAGCTTTGAGGACATGCATATTTTAAATCAAACCAGCAAACTTAAACAGGCTTTTATTTACCAAAGATCATTTTATATCATGTTGGATAACTTTGTCTTTTAGAAGGTTCTGTATGTTAGTTAAAGACTACATTCCATTATGAGAGGTTTTGAATCCTCTCTTTTAAGGATGACCCCCAAGGTGGACTCATCTGAAACAGAGGCTCCCCAGAGTGGCCATTACGACTCCAAATTGTCTCAAAGGTTTACTTATTTTCACTTGTTTAATTTTAGATCAGGAATTTTGGGGGAGTTGAAGTGGCGAATCTGTGAGAGAGAAGCAGCAGATTTGGCTTCAGCTGCTGGCATCTTTAATAATTTGATTATTTTCTCTTAAAGAGGCAGTAAAAGTATTTCTGATTTCATTTAGAAGCCTCAAAAGATTAAAAAAGGCTTCCCGTTGTTGTAGCTGGTTTTTTCCAATTGCATACATCAGTTTGGGTAAACTGAAATTGCCCCATTTTGGCCATTTTAAAGTGAGATCCCCTTTAGCATGTTTAATTAACATAGCCCAAAGGGTGAATTTACATGCTCTTACAGTATCAGGCAGGGGAAACGTTCCTCCGTGACACACTGTTTATCCCCACAACATAATCTCTAATATAATCAGGCAAAAGAGATGTAATTATTTTACATAAGGCCCATTTAGATAGACCAAGTTTTACAAACCTTTATTTTAATTTTTTTAACTCTTATACTTTTAATTATAACTTATATTAGAATTCCGTTAACAAGTTACCGTGTTACAGTGTTGTGTAGGGAAGCATTCCCAGCTGGACGTAACATTTATTCCCAGAGAAAACATCCAGGCAAAGTTGACATAACCTCTTCATACGGTGTTAGTTTAAACCTTTCATTTTTATAGTCTTATCAACCTGAGCAGCCTAACTGTTGCCCCAAGCAATTTTTGGTCAGGTTTCTCACTGGGATTTCTGCCTTCTGACATTTAAAAATTTTTTTTCAAATTGGGGTGAATGGAACGGGTTTGTCTGATGTCCTTTAATGTTGGGGGGCCACAAGGGAGTCCCTTTAGCCCATTTCACCTTAGGCAGTGTTTCATTAAAACCTTTGTTTTAACTTTATTTATATCTGTTCTATTGATCCCATTTTCCTTTTTAATGACTAAAGATCTTCATCCTGTTGGGCTGAGTCCTGTCTCTTCTCTTTCTGATTTCTCTTTGTTAACTTAACATTTCATTAGCATCTATAAAACCACAAGAAGAAGCTGAGACCCCAAGTTTGATTAAGTTTTTAAGACTAGTCATCGTGTTTTCCTTTTAACTTGGTCTTTTCAGAGGGAGCAGTAAAACAGCTGTTTACCATGAGAGCTCTCCAAAAATCTTTTAACTTAAGGATCTGTTGTTTGGCCATTTTCTCTCCGGAGTTTAAAGAATATTGTGGCCATGCAGTGTTACAAAAGAAAATCATCCCTTTTAGATATTGGCTTATGATTATAATTAGCCCATCTACTCAGAATCAGCCCCAGTGGGCTCTGCTTGGGGGCAGACAGCGTGTTTCCCATTCTGATACACAGAGACAGACAGACACACAGATCCAGACACCAGTGAACCAGTTCCCAGATTGAGGGTAGAAAGTCCTACAACTGTTCCAACTGTTCCCACTCTGATTGCGCACCCAGACGGCCCCCCCAACCATGAACGGAAAGGACCCCAGCTGAGGGGAAGGAAGTTCACAGGCATCCCCGAGCCGACTGGTCCTATTTCAGATGGAGTCCGTTGACTCACCAGAGTGAAGAACAAATCAACAAACAAATAAAACCAAATCTAGAGCCCGTTTCCTTGCCATAAGTAGATGTGCCTAGGGTTATCGTGCCAGGCCAGATGGAAAGTACTGGGGACAGTCCCAAGGGCAGATCACCTAGGCAGCTGCTGGACTGCTTCCCAGGAAATCCCAGTCAGCCCGGGGCCATGGAGCCACAGGCAAGAGCTCCCTGGCTGGCTCACCAGATTGTTACTGCCTACAAACGTAGGTTCTTTACCCACCACCCAAGAGGGCCCAAATAAAAACTGGAACGCCAGGCTTGTGGCAAGGAAAGGGTTATTGTTTCAGATGACATCAGCCAGGAGACAAGAGTGAGCCCTCAAATTTGTCTCATCTCCCCAAAAGAGGGGCAGTGAGGGGTTTTAAAGGTTTGTGAGGAATGTGGCTGCTTGTAGATGGCAGGGGGAGTCAGCGGCCTTGCTGGTGGGAGCTTTCCCACCAGCCTGCATTAGGCCTTGGGAGGCTGCTTGCAGGGAGGAGGAGATGATAAGGAATCCAGGTGGGCAACCTTGGCTGTTTGTGTCCATGGCAGATAGTGGATTCTGGAGCCAGGGAGTGAGTGGGGCAAGAGTGCTTTGGTTTGAATCCCGTATGTGCTAGGTTTGATGTAGGGGAACTGATATCAGGGCTAGTATCATTTCTACTAGTTAACTTGGTCCTTCTTTTTTTTTTTTAATGAAACCTATGCATAGTCCTTACTCTGGGGATGATTTGGCATCTGGATGAAAATGGATGAGCCCACTCAGATTGGTTTAGTTCCTGTGTGTCATTTCCTTCCTGGCTGTTCTGTTGGAGGTAGCCACCGCCTTGTGATTGGAGCCATGCCTCACATTTGTGATCCTAAGGCTCTTCCTCATCCGTGGGGCCCAGCTCGAGGCACCGGTGTGTGTGCCCGCCCGGGAACGAGTGTGCCCAGGTCCCTAGTTTAACTAGTAGTGTATGCCTCTTGCTCTCCTGAGTTTCGTGAGCTTCAATCCCTTCGATGGTCTGTTGGGTGACTTGAGAAACAAACTGTGAACTGCTTTTGAAAACGTGATTGCTGTGAGATTTGATGAACTTGACAGCATCTGTGCCTTTGCCTCAAAAGGCATACTTAAACCACAGTTACTCGCTCAGCCCTGACAGTGGACTGTGCTGGAGTCGTCATCTTGCTAGCCATCCTAGAGGTTCAAGAAGGGGAGAGCCAAAAGCGGCTGTCCCTGCCTGGGATGGGTACTGCCACACAAAAACCTGCCTTCTCTCAGTAAGCCACGTTCACTGCCAGCCAGCGTCCATCTTCTTTTGCTAGCTTTGAACTGGATCGTGATTAAAATAAAAAACGTCTATGTTTGTATCCCTTAAGAATTAGGCAAGGGTTCCCACTCTTTAATGCTGTTGTTCCACTTCTAGGAATTATGCTAAGGAAGTAATTAGAGATCCATACAAAGATTTATGTGCAAGATTATCATCACAGCATTATTTGTAATTGCAAAAATTGGAAATGGCCTAAACTTTGAATAGTAAGGAGATTGGCTAAATAAATTGTGGTGTATTCTAACCGTGGAATAGCATTCTACCACGAAAAATCATGTTCTCAAAGAATCTGTGCTCTAGAGATGGTAAATCGCTTATCGCGCATTTTGAAGAGAAAACTGTAGATAAAACATTATGTAGTGCGTGCTGTGCTCACGATGCATAGAAAAAGGACACGAAGGATGTCAACCTGGTTTTTAATAATGTGTCTCTTTGGATGGAGTTATAGGTCATTTTTTTTTCTTTTTACTTTTTTCAAATCTTATACAGTGAGCATATATAAATTTTCATAATGCAAGATAAAAAGTAATACTTAGAAAAGAGAGCTTATGTCTTTCTCCTGAAAAAATTAGAAAGCATTTAAAGTTATTGGCATTTCAGCTGGAAGCTTGTGGACATGGAAGGCATTTGAAGGGAGGAAATAGAGAGGAAGACGACCACGTCTTAGGGAGGATTGGACACGGATAGAAAAGCAAACGCCAGTTAAAAGGAAAATGGACATGAAGGCATAGCTTGAAGCCCTGACATTTTTGCAGCCCCATTGAGATGGCAAGATGGTCTTGGGCTCCCACAGATGCCATCCGACGAGGGCAGGCAGGGCCCAGCTGAGGGGAGAGAGGTGCTGAGAGAGCGGCCCTCTCTGTTGGACGGCTGCCATTCTCCATGGAAGAGCCCCATGGCGCAGTTTCTCACGGTCTCGTACTGTGGTCACAATAGCTCGCACAGCACTCCTAGTGTACTGGAGTTTATGACAGACTTCATTGAATGCGGCCTTAACTTCCAGGAAAAAAACAACTCACACAAAATCCATAAAATCAGTCATGAGAATTCTCAGAATAGGCTGGGTCTTCTTTGGAAAATGACGGAACAGAGCTATTCATGAGTTCCATGTAGTATTTTGGATCTATGGCTTTCAGTTTTTGCTTTGTTTTCCAAGTCAACTTGAAGTACCATTTTTATAGCAAGCAGAAATCTCAGCATGAAATAAATATTTTTTATGGAAAAACAACCCACAGCCCTGTAACAATCACCATTATTATGTGGATTCCACAGACTTGTGACCTCTGCTTGAGCTTTAAACATGTATGGACAGACTGTCCCCGTGTTTAAAACAAAACAAATGGGTGTGTATGTGTGTGTGTGTGTTTCCTCCCCCCAAAGATAGCAAAAGGCAAAAGGCAGACCTCATTCTTATCAGAACATGGGCCCCGCGGAGGTCCAGTGCATGGGGCTTTGATTGATTTGTGGCTGTGATGGTGAGTGAGTCTTCAAGGAGCCTTTTGTCCTTTTTCCCACAATATAAAAATCCAACTACATTCTGCTGAGGACTTTTCTCCATTTCCTTTCATACAAAAAAAGGTCTGTTCCTGGCATGGTGCCCTACTGCTTAGTGAGCAAGACAAAAGAAAGTCAAGAAATTTCCATTTTGCCCATTTGGGTTTGTGTGGGGCAGTGTATAAACTCAGACATGGGCCGCCTCTGTCTGTCCTCCCTCCGGGGCCAGTCATCTCCTCTTTCTGGGGCTTGCTTCAAAATACTGAATGACTCCCAGGACCACGCATGTTCTAACTCTTCCCTAATCTCTTCCCTTTGTAATTACCCTTCCTAGGAGGAGGTGAAGGCAGTGCTCGGCCGCCTCCTGAAGCTGCTCAGAAGTCCAGGCTTCTCGGCCAGGGATGTGCAGGCAGCAGCTGGACAGAGCCGAGAAGAAGCCCCCAGGCCACTGGAGTGTGGACCGCTGATCAGGCGCCTCCTCCTGAACTTCCTGCTCTGGGCTCCTGGAGCCCACGCGATTGCCCAGGAAGTCATCACCCTTGTAAGTCTCCCTTTCTCTAGCCTTCTCGTTCTCATCCACATTCCAGGTGTAGGGCAGGTTATCCACCAGAGGGCCCTGCCCTTGACGAGCGCGTGTACCAGGATGCAGTCCTAACATGGATGGACAGGCGGTGAGGCTGACCGCTGAGATGGACCCCAGAGCCTGCCCTTCATAACACTTTCATGTCGCAGAAGAGAAGATGGAGGCTCAAAGACAGGTGGTGACGTCTTGTAGGTCACAGCTTGCTGCTGGCGGGGTCAACACTTCCGTGAGGATGTGCCACTGCAGCAGCTCACAGAATTTGGTTTGTTAACTTAAAAAAATGTTTGCTAATTACAAAGAATTCCTTCCGGAAACCCAGCTGACATGAGGGGTAAAGAACGGTCCAAGTCAAAAGTGAGCACCATTCATGACACTGGGTTAGGCAATGAGTTCTTGGATAATGTCACCAAGGGCACAGGCAACAAAAGGAAAAAAACAGATAAATTTAACTTCATCAAAATTGGAAATTTTTGTACATCAAAGGACACTATCAAGAGAGTGAAAAGACAACTGACGGAAGGGGAGGAAACTATTTTGAAATCATATATCTGATAAGGGTTTAATATCCAGAATATATAGGGAATTCTTACAACTCACAACAAGAACTCAATTCCAAAATGGGCAACGGATTGAATAGACATTTCTCCAAAGGAGATCTATTAATGGCCAGTAAGCACATGAAAAAATGCCCGACACATTAGCCATCAGGAAAATGCTGATCAAAACTACAGTGACGTACCACTCCACACCCACTAGGATGGCACTGTAAACAAAACCAAACCCGACGGAGGTTACCGCGCGTTGGGACAGATGTGGGGAAATTGGAACACTCATGTTATATTTCCAGCTGGCAATGTTAAAATGGTGCACCCACTGTGGAGAAGAGTTCAGTGGGTCCTCAAAAAGTTAAGCATAGAATTACCGTATGAACCAGCAATTCTTCTTTTGTGTGCACCCCACAGAATTAAAAGTAGGAACTCAAACAGATGCTTCTCCACGCGTTCATAGCAGCGTTATTCACAACAGCCAAAAGGTAGAAACAACCCAGATTCCATCAACAAATGAACGGATAAACAAAACGTGGTCTATACATATAATGGGATATTTTCCAGCCTTAAAAATGAATGAAGTTCTACAACATGGGTGAACCTTGAGAACATTATGCTAAGTGAAATAAGTCAGACACAAAGGACAACATATTGTATGATTCCACTTATATGAGGTGCCTAGAATGGGCAAATTTATAGAGACAGAAAGTAGAACAGAGGTTACCAGGGGCTGGGGGGTGGAGAGAGGGATTAAGAGTTAGTGTTTAATGGGTACAGAGTTTCTGTTTGGGATAATGAAAAAGTCCTAGAAACAGATGGTGCTGATGGTTGTACAACATTGTGAATTTACTTCCTGCTAGTGAACTGTACACTTAAAAATGGTTAAAATTGCAAATTTTATATTATGTATATTAGCTACACTAAAAAGAATGCTCATCTCAAAAAAAAAAAAAACACCAACATGCTGGTTCTTAGAGTTTTTGTTTCTGTTTTGGCTCACTTTGTATTGACGTATAATATACATACAGAAAATGTACAGCTTGAATTTTCACCAACCAGAAACATCCCTGAAACCAGCCACCAAATCAAGAAAGGAATGTTTCCAGCCCCCAGAGGGCCCCTCCTCTTCCTTTCCAGGGTAGGTTCTGTTTGAACGTGAATATGAGGAAAGTCCCAGTGACACATGGGACTGCCAAGAACGGCAGACACCAGCGCCCAGGAGGTCCTCCCCAGTCCTGGTGGAAGTGTGGGCGTGGAGCAGGCAGGCCAGGCAGCCGCCCGTCAGTGCCGCCTCTCAGGCTCGGACAGAACACCTCCCGCGAGCCCGGGCGTGGCCAAGAGCAGAAGAGGACTCGCCTGTCACATGCTGGGGGCCGTCTCCTCAGGGCCCATCCCAGCACAGCGGTCTGTTGTATACTTGTGTGAAGCACACTCCCAGCCCCTGTGGGATGGGAGAACTCCATAGGTGAGAGCTGAGAAATGCCCGTATGTCCACAGAACTTCGTATCAACTTTCTCCTCAGCCAGGTGATCAAGGTCAACAGCAGCAGGGACGTCATGTTGGCAGTGGTGCCCTGGATACGATGCGATGAAAATGGCACTTTACCTCTGTAGTCTTCCTCCTCAAAGCCTACAACCCCATCCTCAAACAAAAAGAGGAAGATTGGCAATAGATGTTAGCTCAGGGCCAGTCTTCCTCACGAAACTAAACAAAAAACCTACAACCCCAGTCTAATAATGTGAAAAACAATTGCCAAACCCCAAATGAGGGACATTCAACAAAATACCTGACCAGCTCTCCTCAAAACTGTCCAAGTCATCAAAAACCATCCGAAAACTGTCACAGCCCAGAGGAGCCTGAGGAGACATGACAGCTGTGTCACGTGGGGTCCCGGACGGGGTCCTGGGACAGAGAAAGGACGTCAGAGCAACACTGAGAGGTCAGAAAAAAGTCTGGTTTTGAGTTAATAAAAAGGTATCAATATTGGTTCATTCATTGTGACAAATGTACCATACTAACATAAGATGTTAATAACAGGAGAACTCTGTGAGGGATATGGGCTCTCTCTTTATTACCTTTTTGGTAAAATTCTAAATCTAAAACTGTTCCAAAATTAAAAGTTATTATGAAAAGTCAACAGCAGGCATTTTTGAATCATGAAAGCTTTGGCAGCATTTTTGTCACCTGACCTCTGACCTCCCACCCATCCCCTGGTCACCTGTGCGTGGAACCTCAGCCCTAGGGGAGCCCACACCCTCCTTCTCCCTCGTGAGCTCTCGGCCTGCTCCTCTCCGTCCTGTCACCCTGGGACAGGGAAGCAGGCCCACGGCTGGACCTACTTGCTCAGGGTCAGGGTGTGGTGGCAGCCCAGCCCTGCCCATGGCGCGTGAGAGAACAGAACCCAGAGCGCGCTCCTCGGAGTCACCAGGTGCCTGCTTCGGTGATTCCAGCGACCGTCCCGCCCAGCCCAGGGAAGCGGTCCACATTCACAGTGGACCGCCCTGCAGTCTCGCCCACGGAGAAGCTGCCGGGAATAGGGAGCTAGAGCGCGTCACAAAGTTGAGGCTTGCCACCCGTGCCAGGTGGCCCATGCCTGCAGAATCGTGCAATCCCAGCCACACGCCAGAGGGAGCGTGGAAGACGCCCGTGCCGCTCCATTCAGTGTCACAAGTCAGCCCAGCCGCAAAACATTCATCAAAGGCTAGAACACCATCTTTCCCTTCACGTAGCCTCCTTGGCAGGTGCTGGCCGGCTGGGCACCCTGGAGCCCACCGGGGCCGAGAGCGCCTCCTGGATGCTGTCCTTGCAGGTGTTCTGAAACTGTGTTCACTGACATACCAGCCGTCCTGGCTCGAAGCTTCCTGCAGTGGCCAGAGGACAGGTTGAAGGCAACTCGGCCAGGGCAGCGATACACAGGATGGGTGGGAGGACGCCTCTGACCGTGCTGCCTCTGTGGACTGCCCTCGCCTCCCGCTTCTCCTCAGCTCCTCTGTGCGCATCCTGAAAGCTCCAGGCCAGGTCTGCGTGGCCTGGGGGCAGGGGGGCTAGATGATGGGGGTCTTGGCTTTGGGGGGACAGCCTTTCTCTTCAGCAGCCTTGGCTTCACCACCCTCAGGACCCTAGCCCTGGCCAGGCTCTGATGTGTCCTCAGAGAGGCCTGAGCAAAGCCAGCTCCAGGCCTGGCACTCGCCTCGCCCCTCTTGTCTCCGCGTCTGCTCCGGAGAGCGTGTGCCAGCCAGGCTCCTCGCGGCTCTCCTGCTCCCCGAGCTGGCCTCACCGAGGAGCCCCCGCCCGGCCTCTGCGGAGGGCAGGCTGCGTCCTCAGCGCCCCTGCCCCTTGCCGTGCCCTGCTCCTCTGGCTGCTGGCTCTCTGCCCCTCCAGCTCTGGGTTCACGTCCTCACACCGGGCTCTTGATGAGGACGAGGCGCCAGCAGCCCGTTGGGCATCCGGGTTCCTCCCCCGAGGCTCGCCCTCTCCTGTCCTGCCCTGTCCTGGGGCCATGCTGCTCCCTCTCCTTCTGTGCTCTGTTGGACCACAGCAAAAAGAGCCAAAAGTTAGCAAGAATCTGAAGTAGAGAGTTCGGGTAGTTGCTGAACTCAAAATGAATTTAACCCCTGACACGGAATATACTTCTGGACACCAACGGCTATGAATGCCTTGGAGCTGTGTTTAGCAGAACTAACAATTCCTGTGTTTCCTGCTTCCCTTGAGAATCAGGTGTTAAAACCTTAGAGGCCTATTAAAAACCAGGGGGCCCAGCTTGCTAGCCCGGGAGTGCCCACGAGGAAGCTGTGTGAACAGGCGGCATCTTCCAGCCTCTCGCAGAGTCAGGCCTCAGCACGCTCATTGGCCTTTGCCCCCCATGGCCAGTAGTCCCAAAGCGGGTGGCGGGCATTCCAGGAAACGGGGCGCTTGCTTGCAGCCTCTGTGAGTCTGAGGCCGTCCTGTCAGGAGAGGCCATGGGCAGGCAGTGACTGCCGCCTCTGAGAGCAGACAGGCTGCTCCTCACCTGGAAAACAGCTAGAGCCCTTGGGGCCAGCGGGCGTGCGGCTGCTCTCCAGGGACAGGACGCTTACAGGGGCTCCACCAGGCATAGAGCTGCGTTTGTCTGAAGAGAGTTTTAACTTGCCTTCTCCTCTGTCCTCGTTGCAGATGGCTCCAACTCGTGAGATAACCCACGAGATTACTGGCTTCCTCGACCAGACCCTGTACAGATGGGATCATCTTTGCACCACAGCCCCTGCGTCGAGAAAACTGGCCAGCGAGCTCCTCACAGAGCTGCGCGGGCAAGTCTAGCACAGGCCCATTGGAGATGTCGTGGCCATGCAGGGGCCTGGGGTTGCCAGGGCCATGAACGAAATGAGGAGGCTGCTTCTTAGGGCTCCAAGTTTGTAGTATGAGTACCCTCTCTGAGCTGTCAGGATGAGCCAAGAACATCTTGGCAAGTTCTAGTGGTACATATTTTACACGTTGAGAAGACAGGTGCTGTAGCCCAAACCTAGATTTAGTCACTAGTGGCTGGCTTATGCCTCCAGATTCCCTGTGCCTGCCCAGCCCAGGACGCCCATTACAGAATCACTGAAGAAGGGCTGGCTGGAGAGCATTTCCCATGCCAACCAAGATGCACAACTATTATGTGAATGTGTCAAAGTCTTTGGACCCAGAAATTGGTCATGAACTACTGATCAATTTAGACAGGAACTTAGCCCTTTTCCACAGACCTTTTCCAGAAGTCAGGTGATTGTTACTGGTATTTCTTTTAATCCACAGGGATTTGAGATAAAGCCCCATTCTCTTTCTTCCCTAAGAAAGTCTTCATTCAGGAGGGTCAGGACCCCTGGAGTTTCCCTTGGCGCCCCCCGAGCAGGCCCAGGGGAAGCAGAGCCCACCCGCCCAGGGGCAGGTGTGGTGCAGGGCCGCTGCTCACCGGGGCTGCGTGCTGGCCCTGCTGTGGACGGCACCACTGCCCAGCGGGGAATAGCCGGTCTGGTGCTGGCTTTTCCTGCTCTCTATTTGCTGAACACTGACTGCCACCAAAAGAATTGATATCACCTCAAAGACGGCTGAGAGAGGAGGGTCCAGGATGCGTTCCAGAAACATCGGAAGAGGTTATGTATCAGTTGTCTTGTGAAGGGAAATGGGAATCAGAAATTTCTAATAAAAGCGGTGGCCCGGAGGTTAACATTTATTTCACGTCCGTTGGAGATACCTTCCCCCCTCAAGTCCCTTCTTCGCTTGCGTTGGTGGTTTGCTCTCTTGTGCATATTCCGTTTGTCGGGTGAGTCAGACCCTCCTTGTGTCCCCTTTGACTTCCGTATTAGTAATCCCCACAGCCCCTCAGTGCTGGCTCCTGTTTGAGGTGTGAGTAAAGTTTTGTCGCATTAGAGGTTGAGCCTTTAGGGGAATTACTTGTTTCAGTTTATGGATCCACCTGAAGATCTGGAAAATTCCAAGAACTTTTGACCTGAGCCTTCCTTTTGAGAAGCGTTACGCCGTGGAAGATGTACTGTTAAAATACTTTCGTCACAGCTGCCGCCGCGTTACCTTCACCTGCTTTGCTTGGAGGTGAACACGCCGCCTCTGCTGATTTGTGCCGGAAGCTGTGGTCAGCCCCTGCCGCCATGAGGGAGGGGCCTTTGGTGGCGGGAGTGAAGTGGAAGGGCGCGCCCTGGGGAGTCAGACAACCAGACAATCAGACAGTGAGACGCGCGGGGCTGCGGCCCCTCGGCCGCCTTCACGCTGAACCTCATGGCGAGCCTGGGGACAAGACGCTGTCCCCGCTGGGCCAGCTGCGCCCCGGAGGAGGAGGCCTTCCCGCCCTCACCCTCCCTCAGCCCGTCTGCAGTGTCCCGCCGCCTCCACGGAGCGCCCGGGCTCCCGGGGACCCCCTAGGACTGGGATCAAGGAGGACAGAGCCCAAAACTATAGGGAGAAAAGCCGTGACTGACCGCCCGCTCATACAAAGCTGAGGTCATTCACTGGGACTCTGTGATGTTTGTGCAACTTGTTCGCTTTTTAAAATTAATTTGTCTTAAATTTTTGCATTCTAAATAAAACGTCAGTTGCATCTAATTTTGCATTCATTAGATATTATCGCCTTTATCAGGAAAAGCTTCCTTCCACTCCCCAAGTAGGAAAGCTTCAGGCTGCAAAGACCCCGAGGGCTCTGCCCCTGGAAAGCCCCAGTTGCGGCTTATCCTTTGGGCCTGAGAATCTTGCCACCAGATGCCTACAAACTGGGGTCCCACTGCCAGGAAGAAGGGCGAGTGACTGTAGGGGCAGTCAGCAGGGGCTGCTGAGACCAATGAAACGCCTCGGACGTAGGTGTTCTTTTCTGTAGCCAGACTTCACCGTTACCGTTTCGTGCACGCGCAGTCGTCCTCTCTGCGCGCTTCCTGCGTCTCGGGACCGCGCGGCGCCCCCGGGTCGCCCTCTGCTCCCGACGCCTCGCGGCCGCGCGGGCACCGGGCCGGGGCGCGTTGCCGAGACGCCCCCTGGTCGGGACTCCGGCCTGCGGCTGCTGCTGGCCCTTCTCCACCCGGCCCCGTTCCTCGCTGGTGGGTCAAGAGTGCTGGGACAAAAATGGGAGCGCATCCAGGGGACGGGAGAAAGCCATGCTTCTTGTCGACGAGGACTCGTCAAGAACAGGGACTCGCAAGGGGGAAGCCGCCGTCCCGGGCGGACCGCGCGCCGCGAGGAGGAGGGAGGAGGGAGGAGGGAGGAGGAGGAGGAGGAGGGAGGAGGAGGAGGAGGAGGAGGGAGGAGGAGGAGCGAAGGCCCCCGCGTCCCCGGCCTCCTCTCGCACCGCTTGTCAGCCCGTCAGCAGCCCCCCGCCGCCAGGGGTGCTGGAATGCGTGTCTTCCCTCTGCTTGACGCTGGATTGAACACGGATTTCGTGGACTTCATCCAACAATTCTAAGTTATCACCACCAACCGTATTACTCATAAAGAAGCAAAATGAGGCAAAATAAAGACGTGTATGTCTTAAAGCCGCCTTCTAAAATCCAGTTCCACCGTTTACACTGTGGGTCCAATTCATGCCCCTCATACACAGACTGGTGACAAGGAAGCTTATAGTGCAGGACTCCCCCCTTCCCAGTCCTGACGTCGCGCACCTCCCTGCGCTGGGTGCTCAGGGCAGGGACCTCTATACTTCGACGCTGGAAGTTTCACACGTCTTAACTTGTCTGTGGCGGCAGTGTCATGAATCAACGCTGAAAATCTTACTGGCCTCTGATGTTCCTCACATTATGATGAATCCATGTGTATCAGCCAGGATTCTCGGTCGCAAGCAACAGAAATGGACACAATGTTGAAAGTAAAAGGGAATTGTCCAAAGGGTGTTTGAGAGCCGGCAGATGGCCAGGCAGACAAGGCTGAGCGCTGGCCAGCCGGCAGCAGTGGCCACAGCCTGGCTGCAGAGTGGCCTGAGAGGAGACCCAGTGCGTCCTGAAGCCTGCAGCTCAGCACCCCTGGCCCTCTGGTGCCTCACCTGCCACCCCCAGCAGGGGGACAGGCCCCTGTGCCCCACTCTCGGAAGCGCTGGTCAGAGCCCTGGCTGGCGCACCTGACTCGGAGAGCCCAGGTCCCCTGCCTGCCCTTAAGCCATAAGGGGAGCTGGAAAAGCAAGTGTCTGACTTGTTTTGCTTCTAGGACCTACACCTTGGACACCACCAATGGTATCGCCCTCTTGCAGGAAGGGGTCAGAGCCCAGGCAGCTGAAGGAAAGAAAATACATCCACAGCACTATATATCATCTATTCTTAAGAAGACTCTTCTAGAGCAGCTGAGACGGTTGTGTCCCCTGAAACAGCCCAACGCTCAGCAATAAAGAAAACTAGAGGCGGGCCCGTGGCAGAAGGCCTACATCTGGGTTTCTCGAACGTGGTGCTGGTAACAGTGTGGCTGCCTTAGGCTCTGTGGGGGGCTGCCGTGTGCTTCCTACGGTGGTTAGCACCATCCTGGCCTCTCCCCCGGAGGCCGGCTGAGTAGTGACAATCAGAACTGTCTCCAGACATTGCCAAGTGTCTCCCAGAGGAAACCCCCCCCCCACCCAAGTTGAGACCTACTGCTCTAACTGGTGGTTCTTTCCTTCTGGAAAGACATCCTGGATAGAAACACTAACTGCTACAGAGACATAAATTAGACTCAATAGGATCCTCACAAGAGAACTAGATGGTCTGATTCCAAAGTTCGTATAGAAAAATAAATATTTAAGAACAGCCAGGAAAATTCTGGAAGTGAAGGGGAGTGGAGGAGAATGAAGTGTGCTGTGTGTTTGCACATATTCTAAAGCCCAAGTCATTACAAAGGTTTGGTGGGACCCAAGATGGGGAGCACGAGGAGACTGTCCCTGCCAGGCCGAGCGCGCTCGGAACTCCTCTGACTGGTCTGGGCAGCACCTAACCTGTCGCTCACCCCGCAACCTTGGCGGACAGAACATTCTGGAACTTAGCCCGAGAGCTAGTCCCTGCTCAACCTCGACCCCTTCCTGGTGGGTGCCTCCACCTTGTGAACCCTCATTCCACTGGGCTTTCACCTGCCATCTCTGCAGAAGGCCACACCCCTCTCCTGGATCACGGACCTGAGTGTCCCACTGCCCGTCCAGCATCTCCGTGACCATCTCAAATTAACACGTGCAGATTCCACTAGCCCCACCCCACCCCCAAACCCAGTCTTCTGGGTCAGTTGACGGTAACTCTGGCCCAACTCCATGGTTATTCTTGATTCCCCTCTTTCTCGCACCCTCGTGTCCAGCCCATCAGGACCTTCTTGAATCTGACCGTTTCCTGCCCTCTGCTCTCTGACACCATCATCTGCCCGGTGTCCCTGCTCCCACCCTTGCTCTGCTTCGAGCAGTGTCATGGCGATCCCTTTCCAGTGTCATCATCTCACACCAGTGTCCAAAGCCCCCCTCTTCGCCCAGGAAAATCCAGCATTCTTAAAGTGGCTTTCAAGGCCCTACACAATCTGGACCCCTTCTGTTCTCTGACTTTATCTCCTAATATTCTCTACTATCCCTTCACTCACCTACCCTACCTGTTCCAGCCACCTGGGCCCCCTGGCAGTCACTCACACACAGTGCAACCCCAGGGCCTTTGCATGGGCTGTCCTGAACCCTCCAGACAAGCAGGCCAGCTCTCTCACCTGCTTACATGTCACTGCCTCCATGTGGCCTCCTTGACCACCCCAATGACAATGCCACCCCATATTCTCCTCCCCTCACTGTGCACTACCTTGACTTTTGTCCCCAACAGCCAATACCATCTAGACACTAGGTCATCTACTTATGTCTTATGTTTCGTCTTCACTGACAGGCTCCACTCCCAGTCCCTGCAGTAGTGCCGGGCGCACAGCAGGAGCCCAGTGAACACCTGCTGAGTCACCTGTGCAGAGATTTAGCCCATGATAAAGGCATTTCCATCAACAGGGAACGATGGTGCTGAGCAATCGAGTCGAATCTCTACTTCTTAGAGGAAAACGACCATGACAAATAAAAGGCCCAGCCCTCTGTCTTTATTGAATGTCAGCACCTAGACGTTTGTTCTCCGGGGCTGTGGTTTCCTGCGGCACAAAGAGGAGGAGGAGGGCCGAGGGTGGTAGGAAGGCTGCCGCTCCGGGAGGGGGTCTGTTACTCCGAGAGCCGGAACGTGTGCATGAAACCAGCACTTCCTCCTCCAGAGGCAGGAAGAATGTTCACGTCTTTCATTCAGAGCTTCCCGCTCATCTTTGCTTTGCAGACTTTGACAGGAAGCCTGCCCCGCCCCCCACCCGAGTCGCTGCCTGGGCCGCGCAGGTTCAAAGGCTCTGGGCCTGGGCCTCTGGGGAGGAGAGACTGTTTCTGGGCACGAGGGGGAGGCACCGAGGCACCAACCGCAGCCGCGCAGACTTCCAAGAATCCTCCACTTTCGGCCCTTAGGCCACGAAGAAAACCTTTTCTGTGCAGACACAAAACCCAGAAATCAAAGAAAAAAAGATGGATAAAACTGACCATACAGAGATAAAAAACAAAACAAACAAACCTAAATACAAATAACAAATTGGGGAAAAATATTTGCAAACTAGTTTTCTAACTTATAAAGCTCTTCTACAAATCAGTAAGAAAAATGCCACAATCCACGAGATTGATGGGCCGGGGACACAGATACTGCACACAATTAACAGAAAGAGAAAGACAAATGGGTTTGAAAAGGCTTTAAAATATTTAACACAGCTCACAAGAAATGCAGATTCATACAGTTATTCTTCCGTATCGGGTTGGAAAAGACAGGAGCGGCCAAGGCACTCTGCCCGAGAGAGGTCAAGGGGTCAGATATTAACATGGAGATTTGCACATCCTGGCGCCAGCTGTGTCCCAGGGGCCCCATGCGGTCCAGCACCTTCACTTGTGGATGAACCCCCACAAGAAGGGAGGCAGGAACCTGGGGAGCTGTCTGTCCGCCAGTGTCCACGGCAGCATTGTTCACAACGGCCAGAAGGCAGAGCGGCCCAAACGTCCATCGACAGGTGCTGGGACAAACGGAGTGTGGTCCGTCCACACAGAGGGCTGCTCCTGCGGAAGTTCTGACGTGCTGCAACATGGGGGAACTTGGAGGTATTTTGCTAAGTGAAATAAGCCAGACAGAAAAAGACAAGCATTGTGTGAGTGCATTCCTGTGAGGTACCTGGGGGAGTCAAATGCACAGAGACAGAAGTAGAGTGGTGGCTGCCCGGGGCTGGGGGAGCGGATGGGGTTATTGTCTAGAGGGGACAGCGTTTCACTTCCGGACGATGAAAAAGTTCTGGAGATGAACGGTGGCGGTGGCTGCACAACCATGTAAATGTACTTAATGCCACTGAACACTTGAAAAAGGTTAAAATAGTAAATTTTATGTTATCTATATTTTACCACAATAAAAACATTAAGTAAAGTTTTTAAAAAATTCTATATCCTTTTATCCAGTAACAGCCCCGTTCTTCAGAGCCACCTCCCCCCATTGCCGGTTGCCCGGGTCCACCGTGAGCAGGTCCGGGAAGCCCCACGGACACACTGGCGCCTGTGCGCGTGGGGGGCCCAGGCACTCGCGGCAGCACTGTGTCCAAAAGCTGCCCCTGGAGACAGCCCAGTGTTCATCGGGAGGGGGCTGACGAAGTGACTTAAGGAAATAAACAAATGGAGCAGCAGAGGCCTCTACAGTTGACACCAGGCCCTGCTTATCAGGGTTTCACGTAAATTCATGCCTTTGATTCTCACACCCACCTAATAAATTTATCTATGGTTTATAGATGAGGAAACTGAAGCCCAGAAAGGTTCTGCAGACGACAGCTCACAGGGCTGGGACCTGAGCAGAGGAACCTACGGACTGCGCACTGTGCCTCTCGAGGCCAGGATGTTCCGACAATGGAGACATCAAAATAGAGGCAAAGTATGTGCCAATCGTGAAACATTCTGCCACACAGAAGAATCACTGTGTACTCTGTTTCCATCTGAGCACGACGCAGGGTGTGGACATGCGTTTGCTGGAGCGCATCCTTAGAGTCTCTGCTGCGGCAGAGACGGGTCAGTCTCCTAACAGGGACGAGTTTGGAGAAGGGACCAGGACAACAGGGGGAGGAACACTTACTTTTTGCTTACAAATTGTTTATATTTGTTTCCGTGTTTGATGTATGCACAACCAGAAGCTCAAATCATCAATACACAAGGGAAGGTTCATCTGTCTGTCCCGAGAGAGGCTCACTCTTAAACCAGGCCGTGAGGGTCAGGCGGCCCCGGGCCAGCTGTCGCTTTAACAGGAGACGTCTTTGCTGGCGCTCCTTGCATTTGTCAGCATGGTGGCATTTTTATAGCCTGTTCACAGGACCTAGGTTGTGGCATCAGACATAGAGTTTTCTAGAAAAAGACGACTTGCTCATTATGGTTGGATCCAGGCACCCTGACACAGAGGGAAGATGGCCTGAGCGCCCCCAGATGGAGCAGTTTGTGGGCCGTGACCCACTTCCCAAATGTCAGTCTGTCATCTGCCCAGCCTCTGGGATCACTAATAACCACCTTCCTGCTCTGTGGGACGGCCTGCTCCACCCCCACGTGCCCTGAAGCCACAGTTCCTGCAGTTCCCTCTTCCCTGATACATTTAATGTATTAAAGCAGATAAAATCATAAAGCGACAATTTCTTGCCCTTAAATTATGTCCTTTCTTTACAACCCAACATAAATGCACGCTTGTACTGTACCATCGGCAAACAGTGTAATTGGCTTTTATCTACCTATCTAGTCATTTCTGTCTCCATAATTCTCATTTTTCTTGAGCCTCTCTGCTTAGACATAACTGAAGCGAAGCCTGGGAGACTTAAATCAGGCAGTCAGAAGGTGAAACCGAGGCACCGGGGCAAGCGTGCCAGGGCCCTAGGCGGGGGCGCCGCCTCTACGCCTCCCTCTCAGATCTTTCCAAGATCCTCACCAGTCTTAGGACACACACTTCTGCTTTCAAGGCCTGTTCTGCCAGACCTCGTGGGACAAGGGAGAACTATCAGAGCAGGAAAGAACTTTCTGGAACTCAGGACTCTGGGCAGTGCAGCGAGGGCCCAACCGCGGGCAGCTTCAGCACCTCCTGCCCCCCGACAGGCACGAACCCTCCCGGGCTGGGCTTCACAATGGGAGCAGTCCCCAAAGGGAGCTGCAGGCACAAGAGGGCTGAAGAGAGCAGACGCCACACCACGCGCCCTGTCGCCTCTGCTTCCCACCAAAGCAGCAGAGGCGCTTCTGGGAGTGGGGATGGTGGCCACATCCCGTGAGCCCCTGGGCTCTGCTCCCCAGGCGGCGGGCGTCCTGCTGAGGGCTGTGCCTCCAAGGTCAGGGGAGGCCAGGGCCCAGCAGCCGGCACAGGCGGGGCCCGGCAGGGCGAGGGAGGGCCCTGGACAGGTCTTTGGAGCAGTCGTCCTGTCTCCCCACCCAGGCCTTTGGGCTGAGCAGCTGAAGCGCTGAGCTTGTTTTGTCTCCAGCAGCACTTGGCAGGGGCCAGATTCGTTTTATGGGAGCTGTCTGGAGGAGATGGAAGCGTGTGCTCAGAGAGGCCTTTTCTGCATTTCTGCATTCTGCTTTGTCTTCCCAAACACACACACAAAACCATGGGTTTCTGGTGCTACACCAGCCCCCTTTCCCAGGCCCAGCCCCCACAGTGGGCTCCTTTGGCTGCTCCTCCCATGAGGGCTGGGTTTGCCTTTGCTCCCATGCACTGATGCCAGGGTGCCCGGATGTCTGGCCACGGTCCAGGCAGGTGATCCGCAGCCCCGGCTGGCCCTGGGCACGTGGTAGTTTTACGGTGGCTTCCTTCCGCCCCTGGCTTGGCTGATGGCCTCCTCCCCTTTTTTCACCCCCTTTCTCTAGTCATCGAACTGGAACAGAAATGCCTTATTAGCAGATCCATCTCCCGGATGGCACCAGAGGGTGGGAAAAGATCAATAAAACCTCCCTGAATGGCCCTCCCCCCTTGTAAACCTCAGGGCCCAGCCAGGGAGGGCCAGGTCATTGTCCTCCAGGACAGTGGCCTGGGGGTTGAGCTCATGCCCTCTTCCTTGAGCCTGGTCACTGGGCACTGCCCGGCAGGTCCAGGCACCCCTCTCCACCCCCAGCTCCCTGGCTTCAGCCCCCAGCTCCCCACCCGACCTCGGACCGAGGCTCCAGAAGTCTAGGCTTGGGTTTGCCACCGTCTCGGGACCCCTGTATGGAGTCTTTGCCATGGCCGGGCCCGGCCCACAGGGCCCCCACCCTCTCTGTGCACCCCGAGGTGGTTCACGGCGCAGGTGCCCTGGGGAAGGGGCGCTCCAAAGGATCGCTGAAGCCCCAAGTCACTGCACTTCCCCCTGCCAGGGGCCGCACCCCTCCCTGCCTTCTCCAGTGTGGGCTGTGGCAGGCCCTCTGCCCAGGGAGTCCGGCAGCCGAGGCCATGGGCCTGGGGCACCCAAGTTCTGTCTGCAGGACACGTGCTGGGAGGGACCGGCTCCCTTCGCAGGGCAGGTCTGCGCCTGACATGGGGATGCTCTCTCACAGTCCTCCTCCCCCGGGGCGGCTCCACTGGAAGACGAGGTGGTGGTAGGCCTGAACAGAAGGCTCTAGAACAACTGGCCCTTGACCACAGACACACAGCTTTTGCTTTTAGACACCCAGTGGGCTGCAGTTGCTGTTGGTGAGGCTGAGCACGGCGGAGGCCACTGCTGTGTGGGCAGATGCACGGGGGCCCCGGCCTCCTCAGGCCTTGGGGCTTTGCTGCATGTACATGCTGGACCAAGCAGCTCAGGGGAGAAAGCCAGAATGCACCAGAAACGGCTGCTTGGAACTCATGAGAGCTCTGCTCTGCATGCTAAAGGACAGGTTACTGTTTCTGGTTTCTATACTTGGGGCACAGGGTGCTGCCTGTGAATGTGACATCTCTGTACCTCGTTTCAGATGGAGACTATCATTTCAGTGTTCTGGTTTGAAATTCCAATAAAAATAAATGCTTTAGGGGCTGGCCTGGTGGCATAGTGGTTAAGTTCACATGCTCTGCTTTAGCAGCCCAGAGTTCACGGGTTTGGATCCTGGGTGCGGACCTACACTGCTCATCAGCCATGCTGTGGTGGCATCCCACATACAAAATAGAGGACGATGGGCACAGAAGTTAGCTCAGGGCCAATCTTCCTCAACAAAAAAAGCATATATACATAAAAAAAAGATGTCTTAAAACTGTATAATCCTAAACTAGAGGCCAAGCAGAAGTGAGAGTCTTTTTTGCTCTTCCCTGTCCCCCCACCCAACTCCACTTCCTGCTGTGACGGGCAGAGCTCCAGGTCCTGTGGGGGGAGCTGAATGGGCAGCAAGGACTCCTGGGGTGCCCTCACACCCCCTCTTCATGAAGCTCAGCCCCTCAGCCTACCCTGGGTGGAAGGGAGCAGGTGCTGCCCCAGGTTGCCAGGTGGTGACGGCTGGGCCCAGGCAGGCCAAGTGCAGGGCCACGTACCTGGGGGACATCAGAGGACTGGCCGCCCAAGGTCTGCCCACAGGTTGACCCTGGCCTGTTCCCATATGCACTGAAAAGCCGAGGTGACCTTGGGAGAAGACGTACTCTTGTCCCCAGTCAGCCCTGCTCTGCGAAGGCACAGGGTCTGCTCACTAAGGGAGGAGGAACGCTGCCACTTCCAGAGCCTTTGTTCTCCAAGGAGGGCAGCTGTTTGGCAACTAACCGATCCACGGCTCCGAGGACAGGGCTGCGTCCTGCCACCGCTTCTGTGCTGCCACCCCGCTAGGGGTGCAGTCCTGCCCTCTGCCAGTGCCCTGAGTCCTTGGAGGGCTCTGCGGGCCTGAGGCCTGGCCGGGGGTGCCTCACTGGGAGCAGCATCGTCGTGGGAGCCACACAGCACCCCCATGGCTGACGGCCTCCTGATGGCTGGTGAGCGCCCCACTGGCACACAGCTTAGGAAGGCACCACAGGCAGAGGAGCTGGGCATCTGCTTTCACTAGACCGGGGGACGACGGCCACCATGGGCCTTCCTGCCCTCCTGGCCCCTCGGCCCAGTGGAGGCTTCGCCTTGCTGGTAAATGGGCTCCTCCTATCGGGTCACCGGCACACGCCACAGCATGACGTTTAGGTGGAGGACGGACGGCACATGCGACCGTGGTCCCCTAAGGTTCAGACCGCACAGCCCAGGCATGCAGCGGGCTGTCCCACCCAGGTGCGTGCAGTGCTCTCTGTGACGCTCGCACGACGCAGAAGCCGCCTACGGAGGCGCTTCTTGGCACGTCTGCCCATCACAGAGCGAGGCAAGACGGTCCTTCGGCTCAGCCTGGAGGGCAGCTCGCACCGTCTCCTGCTCAACCTGGGAACCGTGACGGGATGGGGGCCCCTGAAGCCAGAAACGTGCTCCTCTAGGGGCAGCAGGGCTCAGAAACTGTGCCACTAAGAAAGTGCACCAGTCTCCCATGAGGTCTTGGTGATGTCCCCAAGGTGACTTAACCGTAGCGGGTTCAAGTTTCCATGCTTTCCAAAGCAGGTGTCCCCTGGCCCGCCCTTGCAGCATGCTGGGCAGGAGCGTGGGCCTCTCCAAACCAGCCTGGCTGCGTGACAAGACAGGGGTCCGTGAATTTGCTCCGGACCAATGTCCACACCGAGAGCTGAGAGGTACTGTGGTGGGGAGGAAGACTCCAAGCCACGTGGAGCCACGTTCAAATCCTGTCACTTGGTATGTGACCCTGGGGACAGAATTACATCTGCCCAGGCCTGATCCACAGCGGGCACTCGGGAAGGGCAGCGGCACAGCCCTGTCCTGGGCCTGGACAGGCGCCCGCCCGCACCCAGGCAGCTCCGGGACGGGACGGGAGAGCAGCTGGCGGGGCCGCGGTGCCTAGTGCCCCAGCCCCTCCCCACCCGGGGCTGCCACAGTTACAAACAGGGAGCTTTAAAAAAAAAAAAAAAAGAAGAATTATTTTAAAAATACAGAGTTCTAGTCTTAGATCTCTGTCTTCAAACTGACTGGAGGCCACTCTGGAATCCGGCGGCCTGTGCCAGGTCCTGGCCACGGGCTCCTCCCCCACATGCTCTCAAGTCCTCTCAACGCCGCAGGGGCAGCCAGGAGTCCCCACTCCCAGGGCCGTCGACGCTCCAAGAAGTGGGTGACGGGGTGTGGCTGGCGGGCGGACAGAAGCCCTAGCAGAGGCCTGCTCGCTCTCCCCCGCTCCTCC